GAGTATAATAAATGGAGAAGAAGCCACTGGTGGCCAGTCTTGTTTTCACTCCGCCCCTCCCCCTTTCTCCCTTGGCTCCTGCTATTTCTTTCCTGCTTCTTTTAAATATATATATATATATATATATATTATTTTTTTATTCATTATTTTTGTTTATTTTGTTTTTATATGTATGGGTGTTTTGTCTGCATGTATGTCAGTGTACCACGTGCATGCCTGTTGCCCAGGGAGACCAGAAGAGGGAGTCAGAGCCCCTGGAACTGGAGTTACAGGTGGTTGTGAGCAGACATGTGGGTATTGGGAATTGAACCCCAGTCCTCTGGAAGAGCAGCCAGTACTCTTAACCCTTGAGCTATCTCCAGCCCCTCCTTTCATTTCATCCCCCTTTCCTTCTCTTTGTCTTCACCCTCCTCTCCCCTTCCTCCCTCTTTCCCCCCTCCTTCCCTCCCTTCTCTTTGCTCTAAGTCTTGAGTTGCTGTGGGTGGCCTGTGAATCTGTGTTTTCAAATCTTGGTTCCACATCCCTGTAGGTTTTTCTTTTCTTCCCTTCATGGCACCCAGGCAGCAGGCTGGGAGCCTGAGGTGACCTCCAGGTCCCCAGGTTGTACCCCTGAAGGCCTGAGCAGGTGTGTGAGGGGTTGATGGAGTCCTAGGTGGTTGGAGAGTGCTGAGACTGGGGAGGGGTGGGTCCCAGCCCTCCATTCCTGGTCCTCACCCTCAGGAGTCTGTCCACTTGTAGATGAGCAGGAGAGCACAGGCGCTGTCAGCTACACGGTGGAGCTGAAGCGCTATGGTGGACCCCTGGGCATTACCATCTCTGGCACTGAGGAACCTTTTGACCCCATCATCATCTCTGGCCTCACAAAGCGTGGCCTGGCTGAAAGGTAAGTTCTGTGGCGGCATAGGGAAGACCTGGGGACACCTAGGGAGCAGAAGGCAGACTTTGGGCCTGAAAACACAGATTCACAGGCCACCCACAGATTCTTATTTCTGCTTCAGCATCAAACAACTCAAGGATAATCACGTCCTCTGTGAGCACCAGCTCCCCATCCTTCACAGGAATTTAGGTCCAGCCCAGAAACCAGGGTAGAGGAAATGATGGCAGAAGGGACCAGGGGACCACAGCTAAAGGGTCCATCAGGGCAGGTCTGGGCTCACTTTCAGCTGCCTCCAAGAGTATGTCCCCTTAGTGTCAGCATTATGAGGCCTCTATGTGTCTGAATATCAGGGGTAGTGCCCCATTGCTAGAGCCCCTCATAAGGCTTATCCTGAGGCCCTGGGGCTTTTGGGCTCCCTGCTACTCAAAGTGTCTCGGTGCTGTGCCAGGGAAGGAGCCTTGAGAGGAAGGTATTCTGACTGCCCCTCGGTGGGGTGGATAGAGGTGAAGTGGGCCTTGGGTGAGTGAGTCCCATCTTTCTGCCTCAGCTTTGCAAGGGTGAGTCAGGGGCACCAGGGAGTGTGAGTCGCTCTGCACAACAGAGCAAGGTGCTGGTGTGAACGGTGAACTTCATAGGGCATCCAGCACAACTGCCTAGCCAGGGTCCAAACTCAGGCTGGACTGCTCCTGGAGCGCCCTCTACTGGACTCTAGAGAGACTGCAAGAGTCTAGTGGACCATGCTGATTCCAGAGGGCCGACTGGAATGGTGGGTGGTTCACAGCTTTCTAGACAGGGCAGTATAGCCCAGAGTAGCTGCAGTATGTTCAGGCTTGCACTTCAAACCAGCTCTCTAGTAGCCACATTAAAAAAATCCCAGTGAAAAGAAATTACTCTTAAATAAATACACATTTCAACATGTAACCAATATTCATTTTTTAAAGCTATCGTGCAAAGTAACGGATTTCATCATGACATTTTTATATGCATATGCCATCCTCCCCCTCCCCCACTGCCAAACCCCTATCCCTCTGCCCCTCTCCTCCTGATCCCCTTCCTTCCCTTACATAGCTCCCCCTCCTGTTCAGGTCCTAAGTATTCACCCATTGTCTTCTATTTTCCCCTGTGTCCCTGCTCCCTTAAAATCTGGCCCCTGACATGATCCTCATAATCTTCATAACCCCTCCCTATATATAATTTTAAATCTAGCTTCCACAAATATGAGAAGAAACACATGATTTGTCTCTAAGTCTGGCTTATTTTTCTCAGCTTAATTATTTCCTACAAATTTCATTTTTCCCTTTAAAGAATTGTTACCTCAAACTCAAAGAGATCCGCCTGCCTCTGCCTTCCGAGGGCTGAGATTAAAGGTGTGCGCTACCACATTGGGCATCTATTTTCGTTTTTTTAAGAAGCATCAACATTGACTTCCTTACAGAGCTCCAGGCCAACCTGGGCTACATAGGTCAGCCTGGCTACATAGGCCAAAGACCTGTCTCTGAATGAAAGAGGAGCAAGAGGGTGACTGAGTTGAACTAACAGAGGTACAAAGCCTGGAATCTGGGGGAGAATTGTCCAGCAGAAGCTCTGAGGATGACTTGGATCCCTCTCTCCTCTTCCCTCATTCTCTCTCTTCCCATCTCTCTGAGGCAGAGAGGGTCTCAGGATCCCCCTCTGTCTCTGGAACACTGGAAATTCCAGAGTGTGCCACTCTACCTAACTATCCTTCCTCCTACATAGCTGGGGCCAACCAGGCCTGTGCCTTGGGGCCTCTGTGGGGTGTTTGAAGTCAGGACCAACACGCTCTGAGGCCCTGAGCATCTGGACCTCATTTGTGCTTTGTGTCCACTCCTCAGGACTGGCGCCATTCACGTGGGGGACCGTATCCTGGCCATCAACAGTGTGAGCCTCAAGGGCCGGCCCCTGAGCGAGGCCATCCACCTTCTGCAGGTGGCAGGGGAGACTGTCACACTGAAGATCAAGAAGCAACTAGACCGTGAGCCTTGCCACTTCCTGGGGACTTCCTGGCCTACAGAGGATGGCTAGTCCTGGATCAGGCTGTGTGCCACCAATCTGGAGAGGGGGTGGGGTCCTTGGAACAGCTGATGAGGAGGCTTAGAGAGAGGGGCCCTTTGCCATGGGGGCACAGTGCACTATGGGGTACACTCTGGGTCCAAATCAGTTCTCTACATGCTCCTATGTCCTATGTTCTATGTTCCTATGGTCTATGTATGCCACAGTTTACCTGAATCTTGGGGTCTTCTTTTTAATCTGGCTTCCATTGTTGTTCAACAGATGGCCTATCATTCAGCCTCACAAACCTCAGTTTTCCCATCCGTGTGATGGGTTCACTTACTAGTATGCCCCCATCCACATGGCAGCAGCCAGATTGTCAGGTGCTTGGGAGTTCCCGGAAATGGGGAAACTGAGGCACACAGAACATCTGTGTCTCTGAGGTCACAGTTGATACTCCTCTTCCCAGGTCCCTTCCTCCCCCGCCAGTCAGGCAGCCTCAGTGAGGCCAGTGATGTGGATGAGGACCCTCCCGAGGCCCTCAAGGGAGGCTCACTGACAGCCCGCTTCTCACCTGCTGTACCCAGTGTGGACAGTGCTGTGGAGTCCTGGGGCAGCTCTGCCACAGAGGGTGGCTTTGGGGGCCCAGGTAACGAGCCTGGGATCTTGGACAGGCTTTTGTGGAGGTGATCCTGCTGCCTGCCCCTCTGGCACCTTCTCTCCCAGCTGGCCTTTCCTTCAGAGGAAGCTCCCGAGGGTAACCTAACTCCACCCTTCCCCTGCCCCTCAGAGGGATCTGCAGTCCCATCTTCCTCGCTATGAGCTGGGGACAGACCAGCTTCTATTCTGCCTCTCTCCTTATCCCCATGCCTAGCACATAACAGGTGTCAATTCATGTTTATTGCACCCAGTTGAAGGTGAGAAAGCAGACAATGCCCTCATTGCTCGTGTGGCTGAGGCCCACTAGTGCTGCCCCTTGGCCTGTGGTTGCAGCTTGGGGAATTAGCAGAAAAGCATCTTGGGGTTTTTGGTGAATCCCCACTCGGTTTCAGTTAGGGCCTTTGGCTCTCTCTCTGAGTGTCCCCATCCCAAACTCCAGGGAGCTCACTCTCAGGGCTCCCAGCTTATCTTCAGGGCTCCTGCAGGTAGATCTGAGAGTGTGGTCCAATCAGAAACTGCCTTTCAAGGAGGCCCTAGAGCAGGCCGCGCCTGTGGAACTGACCATGGTGCTGGAACTTCAGTGTCCATGGCTGGATGGCTGGATGTTCAGGGGCTTGCTAGGGTGACTTGGACTCCTGGGTCTCTCAGTGGTCACTTGGGCCCAAGAAGGGTACAGATCTGCTCAGTGGTATCCAATTACTGGGAATGAGGGAGGGCAAGACAAGATAGAGAGAAGGCCCACATCCCTCTCTCCACCCGCCAGGCTCCTACACTCCACAGGTGGCAGTTCGGAGTGTGACTCCCCAGGAGTGGCGTTCCAGCAGACTGAAGAGCAGCCCCCCACCCATTGAGTCCCGGAGGACAAGTTACACACCTGGCCCTGCTGATGAGAGCTTCCCAGAGGAGGAGGAGGGGGACTGGGATCCACCTATGAGGTCTGTGGTAGGAACACTAACGGGGTGGGGGTGGGGTAGCCAGAGGGTAACAACACCAGGACGGGGCGGGGGAGCTAAGGAGGACAGAAAAGCGTCCCTGGCCTGAGGAGCATATCTGGGCTGGAAAGGGTGTCCTGTGGAAAGATAGCAGCAAACATGTCCTACTGAGGCAGCAGCCCAGCTTGTTCCACCTGAGTCTGTGAATAGCTGTGTTAACTGCAATACCAGATTCAGAATTTGAACCCAGACTCCCCCTCAGATCAGGCTGTATGAGTCACGACTCTCAGTTCAGAGCCACCAGCCCTGGGCTATGCATGTTGCATGTGTATGATTGGGCTGGTACAGCAGCCAGCTCCCACAGTGCGTCCCCACAAGGAACACCCATGCCTCCTCTGCCTGGGATCACCTCTCTATCTGTGCTAGCATTGTTCTCCTTAAAAGCAAAGCCGGGCCTTTGAGAAATGAGGACTTTGTAAATCACATTGTGGCAAATGGCTAAGGGCTCTGAGAGCTGTCAGGAGTCCTGCAAACTAGGTATTAGCTGTAGATGGTCACACAATGGGCTACCAGGATGGGTGCTGCCCACCCCTCCCCCAGCACAAATATCCCATCTTCTCCATCCATCTGTGTCCTGGCTGGTTCTGGCTCTGTCCTGTCACTGTCCCGTGGTGCCATGTGTGGGGGTGGGATCAGAGGCTGCCTTCTGGGGCTATCCCATGGATCTTTCTGTCTGTCTCTGTCTTCTGTCTGTCCGTCTGTCTTTCTTCCCAGGCGTCCTGTGTCACCGCTCTCCACCCCGTCTCATCTGCCCCTGTTCTAATTGGCCACCAACAGTCTTGGTCACCCCTAACTGCGTCTCCCCCCCATTCTGTGTCACCAACCACTGCCCTGGGGCCCCAGCACTGCCACCGAGGACACCCGCCTGCCTGCCTGCACGCCCTATGGCCCCTGGAGCCCAGCACTGGGCCCTGGGCAACGGAAGACTCCTCAGGCCCAGCCCGCCCACCCTCCTGCCTGCCAGGAGTTGACGCTGTGGTTCCTGTTGCAGCCCAGCCCCTGGCCCCGCCCGAGAGGAGGGCTTCTGGAGAGTGTTTGGAGAGGCCCTTGAAGACCTGGAGTCCTGTGGTCAGTCGGAACTACTAAGGGAGCTGGAGGTACTGTTACCTGGCCAAAGAGCCTGCAGGACACCATGTATGGACACACTGGAGGCTGGGGAAGGCTACATATCAATAGAGTCAGGCTTCTGTGTCACCTGGGGATATATAACACCTATATATCTTGCTGTGACAAAAGCCGCTTTAAACAGGAAGGGTTGGGGCTGGAGATGGCTCAGTGGTTAAAGCCCCGGATGTCAATGTAAGTGCAGAGTGGGCATGACAGCCTGCTTGCAAATTCCAGCCTCTGGAAGGAGAAGTCAGGGAATCCCCTGACCAAGCTAGTTAGCAAGCTTAGCTATTATCGATGAGTTCTAAGTTTGATTGAGAGATCCTGCTGCAATGAATAAGATGAAAGAGCAATTGGGGAAGGGTGACTCTGGACGTCAACCTTGGACCTCCACATGCACTCAGACACACATGCCTATGTACCCCCAGACTCGTGCACATATACCCATGCAAATAGGCGTACTCACATATGCATATCACATATACACACATGATAAATTGAAACGGGGGTTTTGGCCCACACTTCCAGGGCACAGTCCATCTGCTAGCACATGAAGTCACAGCAGCAGGAGCTTGGGAGTGCTGGTCGCTGTGTCTACATCAAGGAAGCAGAGCCTTGAATGCTGTGCTTGGTTCTATTTTCCCTTTTGTTCAGTCCAGAGCTCTAGCCTATAGGTTGGTGCCGCTCACATGCAGAGTGGATCTTCCCACCTTCCCATTAAATGAACCCATTTAATGGACATGTCTCCAGGTTTATCTCCTCACTGTTTCTGAGTCCTGACTGGTTAACAATAATTAACTATTACTGTATGTGTGCTCTCACCTGGGCACCCTGGATGTGAGGGGTCTTCATATGTGAGGGATATGCACACACATGCATATCTCTTGGGCATGCATGTCTGAGTGTGTACATGGAGGTACCCTGAGGCCATCCTGCTGTCTTTGTGGATGTATGGCGTATTTACTCATGGCATGGGTGATGAGAGGCTATAGGGGCCAGCTATGGGTGAGGTCTCCATCACTCACATATAAGACAGGAGGATCTCACAAGGCCATTCTGTGTTCAGTTTTGGGACAACCAAAAGCTCTGTTTCATGGGCTACCACCACCACTCCTGTTTGACTCTAGCATGGCTGACTGGGGGCATTATTCCATTCATCAGCCTTGCCAATTAGCAGGTTTAAAAAAAAAACTCCCATTTTGGTTTTTCAATCTTTTCTGTTTATTTTCTGTCTTGCTCATTTTGATATTCATTTTCTTAGACTTTTTTTTATGTAAGTAAAGATACTTGTCCTGGTTTCTTAGCTATTTAATCTCCACTCTTCTTTCTTCAGATAATATAGTTCAAAGCTATGAGTTGACCTGTAAGCACTGATTTGGCTGTGACCCCAAAGGTTTTGTTTGTGGAACTCTTGTTGTCTACTCAGTATCAAATATTTCAATGGTTTCCACTGTCACGTGACTTAAGCCCTTGATATCTACAGAAATGCGTGTTTGAGGGTTGTCTTAGCCAGGGTTTGTATTGCTGTGATAAACACCCTGACCAAGAAGAGCAACTTGAGGAGGAAAGAGTTTCATCCACATCATAGTATATCATCCAGGGGAGTCAGGCCAGGAACGCAAGGCAGGAACCTGAGGCAGCAACAGTTGCAGAGGCCTTGGAGGAGTGCTGCTACTGGCTTGCTCTTAGTGGCTTGCTCAGCTTGCTTTCTTACACATCCCAGGACCACCTGCCCAGGGGTGGCACCTTCCACAGTGAGTTAAGCCCTCCCCCATCAACCTTCAAACAAGAAAAAGTCCTGTAGGCTTGCCCACAAGCCAATCGAATGGAGACATTTTCTCAACTGAGGGTCAGTCTTCCCACATGACTCTAGCTTGTGTCAGATTGACATAAAAGTAGCCAACACTTGGGGTTTTAACTGTTAATTGCCTTCTTTATTCTCTCTCCCAACTCACCAAGCCTCTCCTAGGCTGTATTTATCCCAATATTTAACCCAATTCCTAGAAATTTTTTCAATTTCTACATTTTTTTATTTCCTTATCATCTCTGCTTTTCACATCTTGAGATTTTTCTTTCTTAACATCTTTTTAGCTTCTTACTTTTCTGTATGTTTTAGACAGACTTAAATTTTCTCTTGCATTTTCTATTAGTTCTAGCCATCAGAGTTCACGTTTGCCTATCTGTTGTGTCTACATGGTCATGGTTCAGGTCCGCCTATCTGTTGTTTCTACATGGTCATAGTTCAGGTTCGCCTATCTGTTGTGTCTACATGGTCATGGTTTAGGTTCGCCTATCTGTTGTGTCTACATGGTCATGGTTCAGGTTTGCCTATCTGTTGTGTCTACATGGTCATGGTTCAGGTTTGCCTATCTGTTGTGTCTATGGTCAGAGTGTGAGTTCACCTATTTGTTGGATCTATGGTCGGATGGGCTTTTCAGCTTCATTGTTGCAGCCGCTTTAGTGGCGATTGCCCATTCTCCGTGGTAATGGAGTGAGTGTCTCTAAGGTCTCAAGTCTTTGAACTTCACTAGTTCCAAACTAGGTCCCATAGAGGCTAGAAAAGGGCACCAGAACTCCCGTAACTGGTTACATAGGTTATGAGTGCCATGTAGCTGCTGGGAACTGAATCCAGGTTCTCTGCAAGAGCAGCCTGTGCTCTGAACCACTGAGCCATCTCTACAGCCCCTTCACCTTCTATTTTGAGACAGGGTCTCTTATTGAACCTGGAGCTTAGCATTTTGACAAGACTATCTGGCCAGTGAGCCCCGGGGATCTGCATTTCCATCCCCCATATAGCCCTAGTATTATAGATGCACACTGCCATGCCTCTACACAGGTTCTCGGGACCTTTATTTTTTTTTAAAGATTTTTCTTATTTATTATGTATACAACATTCTGTTTCCATGTATATCTATCTGCACACCAGAAGAGGGCACCAGATCTCATAAGGGATGGTTGAGAGCCACCATGTGGTTGCTGGGAATTGAACTCAGAACCTTTGGAAGAGCAGTCAGTGCTCTTAACCTCTGAGCCATATCTCCAGCCCGGTTCTCGGGACCTTGACCCAGGTCCTTACACTTGTGCAATAAGCACTCTCCCCATTGAGCTACCACGTAAGCTCTATACTCTCTAAGGACCCTTTCCCCAAGATCCTTGCCTGGTCTTGCCTGGTGGACTCCGGCTCTCCAGGATGTGAGGACTAGTTGTAAGAGATGTGCAGAAGGCACCTATATCCACTCCACCAAAGTTCTCCCCATCTCCTCCACGACAGCTTGGCTGGCCCTAACACAACCACTTTCTCAGTCTTCCTGGAGCGTGGGCATCAGTGCCAGACAGAACAATCCACCAGAGTGGAAACTCAGATACAATGATGGACACAAAAAGAGAAATTTCTAGACTGGGGAGATACCTGTGTGCCTAGGAAGCTGAATATCACAATGGAAGAGGCTCGCCCTACTTTGGCACCTCTGTGTCCCCCTACTCATGTGGTCTGTGGATGTCCCTTTCTGAATGTGATGCTCTCAGCTCACATTCACATGCTGGGCACTTCTGACTCTGCCCACTGCCCCATCCTGTGGCACAGCTCTGTACTTTTCTTATCTCCATCCTTGTCCAGATGACCCTTTCCTTTGACTTTTGCTTGGCAACTCCATGGTCCCACCATGTCCTTCTGGCCACCAATCCCTCCTAAACACACACATCTGTTCATGTTACCTTCTTCACTAATTACTTGCTCCAGAGTTACCTCTTGTCACTATGGGATAAAAAGTCACATATGTACTTGTAGGCTGCAGGGTACTGGAAGACCCTTACTCTCCAGGCTTTCCCACAGTCCAGCTTTGCAGTGTTCACTCTGCCAGGGGTGCTCATGTCTCCCCTCCCTGTTGGGGAAGTCTGGCCTAGACTCTCACTTCCCATGTGCCTTGATATGAACTGAGGCTCAGAACCCTAACTGTGGTGTCAGATTCTGAGTTCAAATTCTCTCACTAAATATATTTGTCTGTAAAACAGAGAAAATGGCTCAGTACTACAGAACGCAAGATGAGTTAAACTTGTAATTTCTGAGAACTGAGCCTGGCACAGAGCAGATGTTAGGCTGTTGTTAATTCCCAGAAGCTTTCATTCTGATCCTGTGAATGGTTAATGACCCTCCTCCTCTGTGTTCACCCTGTGACCGAGCGCCTGCCTGACAGAGCCGGATGGAGTAAGTATATGGTGTGTGAGTGACAACTGTGTTTCCACAGGCTTCCATCATGACAGGCACTGTACAGACTGTGGCTGTGGATGGCAGGCCTGGCCCTCGGCCCTGGCGCCGGAGCCGGGAGATCCGAACATCCTCTGAAGACCTGCAGGAGCTGCTGTTGCCAACGCCTCTGGAGATGCACAGGGTGGGCACTGGGGGCCTAGCGCCAAGAGGAGCTTACCTGCTTGGGATGCTGAGGGCCTCCACGCTTTGCCAGGCTTTATTCTCTCTCACTGACAATAGGGACTTGGGAGCTGGAAAGATGACTTAGCAGCTAAGAGCACTGGCTGCTCTTTGAGGGACCCAGGTTTGATACCCAACACCCACAGCAGCTAGAAACCATCTATAACTCTAGTTTCAGGGAACCTGATGCCCTCTTCTGGCCTCCAAGGGCACCAGGCACACAATGGATACACAGACATACATATAGGCAAAATGTCAAACACATAAAATAATAAAAACTTTAAAAACCCAAACCAACCAATCACCACCACCAAAAACACCCAGGAGTTTTTATTAGGTTTTCTGTAACCCTCACCATTTGCATAATTACACCCCACACCTGAATACAGACATGCCTGTGATACACAGTGGGCTATTCATTTTTTTCAGCCAACTTTATCCCTGTATGCATGTACACATATGCAAATATGTATGTTACATACACACATGTGTACACACACCATAAGGTTACATTACATGTATGTATATGTGCATATATACAGCTAGTCCTCTCTACCTACAGGTTCGGAATTCAGCCCACCAGCCACAGATCAAAGTATTCAAGGAAAAGATGAGCATGGTGGTATAAGTCATTAATCCTAGCACTTTAGAGGCAGAGGCCAGTAGACCTCTGTAAGTTCAAGGCCTAGTCTACAAGCAAGTTCCAGACTAACCAGAACTACATAGCAAGACTCTATCTAAAATAATAATAATAGCAAGTATTCACAGAAAAAAAAATTGTACTGAACATGGGCTGGCTTTGAACCTCATTCCCAGAGCAGTGCAGTGAATCATCTACGTAGCACCCACCGTGAACTAGGTCCCAGAAGCCCTCTGTAGAGAACTTGAATATGTGGGTGGGCAGGCACAGGTTCTCTATAGGTCCTACACCATTGAACATCTGCAGATTGGGGGATCCTCACAGGGGCCAGGAGCTGGTACCCTGCAGACACCAAGAGACAACTTTACATGCCACCATAGGCAAATGACTGACATCACCAGCTGCATCTCTTGCACCTGTGTGTATCTATAAAGAAACCAAGACATCAGAGCACCCTGGGTTTGTTCAGAGTGGTGAAAACACTGAGATCCCCTACTCTGCTTTCTAAGGGACCCTTGAGCACTGGGACCTGTGGGGTGCACATGGCAAGGTCGATAGCATAGAGCACAGGCTCAAAGGCTGCTGAGGCCAGTCAGTAGGCTGGGCTTGGATCCCAGGGAGGTAATGGAGCTTAGAGCAGAGGTCACCTCCTCTTCCTCCTCTTTCTCCTCCCAGGTGACCCTGCACAAGGATCCAGTGCGGAATGACTTTGGCTTCAGTGTCTCGGATGGCCTCCTGGAGAAGGGTGTCTATGTCCACACTGTGCGCACTGATGGGCCAGCCCATCATGGAGGCCTGAAGCCCTTTGATAGGCTTCTGCAGGTAACTCAGGGGGCCCCAGCACTGGCCCAGGGACAGGGTCCAATTCCCACTGTGAAAGTTCATAGAAAGGCCAGTGGGATGAGTCCAGTGAGGCTGCTCACACAAGAGCGAGGTTCCACTCACTGTTGACTCCCTGGCTGAGAGGGCCTGTCTAATAACTGTTCCTCTGAGACACATGATCTCCTTAGACTTCATGGTGTAGGAAATTACTTTCATTTTTTTCCTGCCTTTAATCCAAACCATTATATGACAGGTCCCTTCCCAGCCTATGGCCAGAACCAGTCACATGATCTTCTCACAGAAAGGAGGTCTAGGAAACAAAGCTGCTCCTAACTCAGCCTCCAAGACTGCCCTTCCCTTGCTCCGGCTATTTTTGTTCCCTTGTTGACTTGGCTGTATTTGTACTTAATTTATGTTTTCTCCTAAATCTTGATGGGAGCAGGATTTCATTTCAGGAAAATCAAACAGTTTTGATGTATTGATGAAAAAGCACAGTTCTCACTTCAAAGGGGATGAGAGAGTTTACTCTGTGATTGAAAGCAAACAGTTTTAAAAATATTGATGGAAATACCAGGTAGGCTGGTTACAGCAAGTCAGAAATCCATGCTTTAGGCCTCTGATGCCATTCTTAGCTTGAGAGATTGGTGGAACCTAGTGGCCACTTGATCATTGAAAGGATCAATGTCTGTTAGGTCAGACATTGGTGGACCTAACAGACATTGATCAATGGGTGCTAAGATAGCTCAAGATAAGTTCTAAGGGTTGGTCCTGCCATATTCTATCCTCTCTCCAGGTCAACCATGTTCGCACTCGGGACTTCGACTGCTGTCTGGCGGTTCCTCTCCTGGCAGAGGCTGGGGACATCCTGGAGCTGGTCATCAGCCGTAACCCACTGGCACAGAGCCGCCGGACACCACGGACACCAGGCCCCAGCAGTCCCCAGATGCTCTGAGGTCATCGTGTAGCTCAGCTGGAGGAGTGGCCCCACTCATCCACTTCTGGTCTACAGATTCCACACCCATTAGAGTGGCATCGTCAAGCTGGATCTTCAAGATGTTCAGAGAACCCCACCTAAAAGGGGTCAGCCCTGCTGCTCAGCCAGGAGAGAGTTGTGATTCCCTCCATATCCCTCAGAGCAGTGACAGGAGTGGGGACAGCCCAGCTCAGTGTAGTAACTGGAATGAGCTGCCAGTGGCTTCCCATCCTGGGAGGTGAATAAACAGGACAGTCCTGAACTGTGGCCAGCAGTGTTCGTTGATCCAGCTGTACAGGTGGTACCCAGTCATCACACAAGGACCCTGCCACCAGGAAGGGTGTGGCATAAGGAGAATAGCATCCTTCCTTGTTCTGAGAGCCTCCAGCATCCAATGACCACACTGGGAAACCCCCATTAGGGACATCTGTGGTGCCAGGGAATGCTAGCCCCTTCCTTCGGGTTGGTGGCTCAATCATTTCAGCTTCGTGAGTGGTTCTGAACCCCAGAGCAGAGCTGTGGCATCACCCTCCTGCTCCACAAAACCTTAGCTCAAGTCACTACTTGGCATGGAAAAGCCCAGGAACATCCACTCACCTGCTATTCCAGCAGATACGGAAACAAGGCTGAGTCACAGCTCTGCCATCGACCCTATCTGAGGAAGGGAGAAGAGGAAGAGGAAAGAGAGAAGCTGACTGAGATGGAGGGGAAATGGCTGAAGGACAAGAGAAGTGCGAGAGAGAGCAATGTCTAAAGATCCTATTCAAGGAGGTCCCCACTTCACAGCTGGGGACACCAGCATCCCTTAACTTGGGCTTCCTCCATCTCTGCCAAGCAGAACCTTTCCGCTTCAAGCAGGACATAAGCCACCTCCCAGGGGTCTGGGCTAGTCTGAGGATTGGCTTTGTGTTTGTCCAGATCAGGTCTCAAGGACCCAGGGGTCTCCAACCCAACCCTATCTTCCCTTTTCTGCCCTTGAAACTAATTGCCAGAAAGACTCTCTGTTCAAGAGGACAGCTGGGGGCCCAAGAAGCCATTCTTTACTCCTGGTTCCCTTCTTGGGTGAATCTGAGCAGACACAGGGCCATCTCCATCTACCCACTGAGACCCCTTGGCTCTCTGCTCTTCCACTGCTTCCCCCATACCTTGCCCTTTGTGATGGCTTCCCCAGGATCCCTCACCTCATGCCTGGGTCCAGGTAACCCAGCACCTCTGATTTCACTGCCCTAGGGTAAAAAAATACTGCCCACCCATCACGGGCAACAAACAAATCAAGACCTTCAGCTTTGAGGGCAGGTGAAAGACACTTCAGAGAGGTAACTCCTGGCCACCAGCACCTGATACTGTGTGATCTTGGGCAGATGGCTCAGCCTCTCTGGGTTTCTGGTATGTGGCATGACTGTACTCTTAAGGGCCTTTTGGCTTGGGAAATCTTTGTTCCACTCAAAAACTCCAGGCTCTGAAAAAACAACTCCACCCCTGCCCTCCCCTCGGGCTGAGGCTCTGCCATCCTCCCAGACATATGCAACTAGGCCAAGCGGGTGGACCTCCTGGCCATGGCCTGAGGCCTTCTCATATGCAATATCCCCCCCTGGCTTCTTTCTCACAGGGGTGTTAGCCCCACACATCCCTAGCTCCCTCCCCAGTGAGCATCCTGCCTGCTATGCATTTTGGGTACCTCTCCAGTGATACCCCCACCCCACCCCCAGAGCTGTATTTTTCTCTGGCTAATATTAGAACATAGTCCTTGTAAAGTATTTTTCTATGTGGGTTTTCTTAGGGCTCCCAGGAAGCACCCAACACACCCATGGCTCCATTGCACAGGCTGGTCTGTCTGGTCTGTCTGGGGTCCATGGATAAATCTTTGTCCCACCAGGTATCACAGTGACTGGGGGGAGTGCTATTGGGATAAATTTTTAATAAAATCAGTTAAAAGCACACAGTAGATTGTTTGCTTTATTAAAAAAAAAAACAGGTTGGCAAGGTTTAGCTGCTGTGTCAATCTTGCAGCTCCTCAACTTCTTTTCATTCATTCATAAAGTGGTCCATGGCACTGAAGAGATGGCTCAGTGGTTAAGAGCTCTTGGTTCTCTTGCAGAGGACCTGGGTTGGTTCCCAGAGCTCCCAACCATCTGTAAGTCCCTCTGACACCCTTCTGACCTCTGCAGGCATCAGGCACACATGTGGTATATGTACATACATAGACAAAACACTCATACAAAATGAAATCTTTAAACAAAAAATACTGATTGAGTCAGGATCCAAACACAAGCCAATTGGCTGAGACAGATGGAGGGAGGGAGGGAGGTGGACAGGGAGAAGGCCATCAAAAAGGCAACAGGAGCACAGTGGTGAGGTGCTTTTGTTTTTATTTTTTTAATGCAAACTGCATGAGGCTTTATTATAGTTGTTTAACAAGCTAACCCATGTTAGCTTGAGTCTTTCATCCACCCACCATGGCGGATGGCTAGGAAAGACAGCTCGAAAGTCTACATAGAGATCTTATAGGGCTGCGTAAGGGGAGTGTCTAGGGGTATGCACAGGCTCAGGATTGGTGTGCCTCCAGGCTTGGAGGGTTTGCCCTGTGTTGATTGGTCACATAACAACCAGTTGGTTGTTATGGCCCATAGGCCCTCCCAGGGTGGTTGCTATGCTCTGCGAGTCATTGCTGTGCACTTGTCCGTAAAGCACACCCAGAGCCATAAAGCATAGCAGCAGGTGAGGTGCTCTTTTATTCTGTCACATCTATGAAACCAGCCAGAGCAGAGCCATAGTCCCCACCCACCCAAGATCTGGCTGGGAAGTCTACATACCCTGGAGCAAACCAGGTCTGGGAACTTCCTCTCAGGGGTCCTTACCTCTGCTAATACAGGGAACACCCTTATATGAAGACCTGACAGTCAAAATCAGAAGCTGGAAGCATCAACACCCCAATACCGTGGATAATTCCACACCTGATGTCATGTAGCAACTAAGCTAAAACAAAGGTAGGGTTACACCTGGGGGTAGGGTGTGTGCAGTTCCAGGACAGTCTGATTAAAGTAAGCTATGTTTAGAACTGGCCAGTCAATTGCCTCTCCCAAAGTTGGAATTACAGAGAGCAACCCCTCACTGGTTTTTGAGGTTCCTTTAACAGGGAAGGGTTAGAATTGATAGAAAACAGCGATTGAGAAAATTGGCTGTTAGCACATGGACAGAAGAGTCGGGACTCAGGGCTCAAGGCTGCCTGTGAGGTAGATTAAGTGCAAGAACCCATCACATGGAAGGGGAGGCATCAAGGCATCAGGGTAGACATTTTTGTAAGGCAAAAGGGCAGTCATATACCACAGGTTCAGGAGTTTACCAAGGCAAAAGGGGTGGGCATACATCATGGCTTTACAAGTTCTGGGCAGGTTAAAAACATAGTTTGGAGGAAACAGACGCTTATTCGTAAGGTATGGAGACTTAATAACAATGTGTAACAATGTAGCTCTTGCTTTGGCTTCACAGTGCCAGGCTGGGGCCTGGGGGCGGCTCAGTACAGGTGATATGTGTGGCTTTCAAGCATAAGGACCCAAGTTTGATTAAAAAACAAAGCAAAACAAAAACCATGTGAAATTGCCATGCAGGAGCTAGAGAACAGTTTAGTGGTTGAGAGCTCTTGCTGCTTTCCCAGGAGACCAGGTTTGGTTGCCAGCACCTACATGGGAGTTCATAGCTACCCATGACTTCACCGTCCTGGGGCTCTGATGCCCTCTTCTGGCCTCTGTGGGCTCTGCACTCATATGCACATACCACCCCACCACATTAACCCCCCCACCCCCTCCACAACTGTTTTTTTAAAAGCCAAGTGAAATAGTTCTTGCAGTCCCCTAGCTGGAGAGGAGAGACAGGTGAATCCCTGAGGCTCACAGGCCAGCCTATTCTAATTAGCCAGCACCAAGCTAGTGAGAAACCCTGTCTCTAAAACCAAAGTCAGCAAATGCTCTTAACAGCACAGCCATCTCTCCAGCCCCAGTAAAATCCCCTTATAAACTGTACAGTGCCGCCAAAATGTAGAGGTGAATACACAACTCCAAAACACACCACACTACACGTTCTTGAATTTTAAAAAGGAAATGTTTATTGTTGTGTTACAAGGTGATTATAAACTCCTCTAAAAAAAGCAAAGATGGATTTAAAATATCAATATACATATTCATCTAAAAAGCAAAAGAGGAAAAAAACACGAAACCCTGCAAATGCAGGGGTGTCGTCATTAAACACCAATACACAGAGCTTATACACTGCAAGACAGGTCACACACCAAGGATCCTTCAAACATGAACGCTCCTCCCCTTGTTGGTTGGTTTCAGGTTTTTCTGTGTGTGTGCGCGTTTGTTTTTTTGTTTTGTATTTTTTACAAAAGTTTAAAATATCTTAAAAATATTTTGAAGTTTTTAAAAAATGTCCTGATGAGCCAGACATATTTCTGAAGGAGGCAAAACCCACGTTCTCAGCTTTCTCTTGTGCTAAATACAGAGTCACAGTTGTTAGGGATTGGAAAGATTAATTGGGTTTAAAAAAAAATGGAGCTACCATCTCATTTTGAAGCCAAATATATAACAAGATGCTCTGCCCTTCAGGGAACATGCCAGAACATGCCTGTAATGACACCACAACCCTCCTAAAGAACATGGAAAACCAGCTTCCTGTGAAGACCCAACTACTGGGAGGTCAGCATGGAGGAGGGGAGGCGGGAGCACTGCTTCTGGCTTCAGAGGCACCCCTCTCCATCTTGGGGTATCTGGTTTTTTTTTGTGTGTGTGTATGGTTTTAGACTTGATGAAGGAGGGGTGTGCACACAGAGGTATTTACAGTGTCCATAAGGACAGGGGTCTCGGGATTGCGTGGGACTGTGAGGGCCTTCTCTAAGGGGCCTTCCTGGCTTGTGTCTGCGTCTTGGAGAGAGGAACAGGACTGGTGCCCATTTAGACTGGTTGCCTAGAGCATTGCCCCGTCCATCCAGAGGAGCAGGGCTGGAATGCCATGGTAGTGACACCCTGGGATACAGAAAGCCCCTTCCTGTGCAGAGGGGAAACATGCTGCTTTCTTCCCATGCTTTGCCATGGTCTGCATGGTCTTCCAGGGTGTTAGGGAGATGAGGACTGGGGCCAGAAGCATAGAGGGAACCTTCCCCATCATTTTCCCAGGAGGAAAAGAAATCTCTTTAGGCTACTTCCTGCATAGCCTTGGGCTGCATGGAGACCAAAGGCCTGCCATTACAGCCTGTCTAAGGCTCTTCACTAGTGTGTCTTTGGCCCTCAGTTTCCTGTGGTGCCAGTGGGGTGGGGGGAATCAATTCCTAACTCCTAAAGGCTTGGGGTGGGGGGAGAAGGGTAATATGGGGCTGGGGTGAGCAGGAGACTGAGGATGGGCAGAAGTGGGTGGCTCTCTCTGCTCCATGATAAGGGCAGGGGGCCCTTATCAGTCTGGCCTTTGGTTGTCAGGAAAGGCCTGACAGTTTACTTGACAATGCCCAGGTCCTGCTTTCCTTCTGCCCATACCATTGAGAGCCTGGAGCAACAAATGACTCAATTATCCAGTCCACTCAGTTCCCAATGCAAGTCTCTCCTACTCCAGGCCTCAGTTTTCCTGTTTACAAAAGTGCCTGAGATTGGGGGACCTCTGGGACTGTCCACAGTGCTTAGCAGGGATCCTCCACTTGGGGACTAACATAACCTCTTGGGTCCAAATAACATCTCCCAGGAGAGTCCTCCCGGGCCCACCCTGGTCCTCATCTAAATTTGACATTGTACCTTGCTTCCTGCCCACATCTAACAGGCAGGGCACAGCCTGACCTGTTCCAGGCAAGGGCTGGTTGGTGGACAGCTTAGCCCTCTCTCCAAGAGGCAGGTGGACCAGAGTCACGAGCTCTACTTCAAAATGTTACTTACATGCAGACATAGAAACACAAGCATCACAACAAGGGCCATCAGGGCCATTAGGGCTAGGGGCTGGGTGAGAGTGGTAGGCATTGAAGACAAGTGCAGGGACACTTTTGGGAATGGGCTCTGGAGGCGGCTGGCCTTCCATCTAGGCAGGGCCTGGGGACTTGGCCCACTGCGTCTTTGGTCTAGAATTTGATCTGGGAATGATAAAAAGGCCTTTCTCAGGCCATTTCCAGAATGGTGCCATTTGTCTGCCAACCCAAAATACTGATGGCTCGCCAGAGTAGCATGCCTGGTGGAGGGGAAGGGTAGACAGGCACGACCATAGATGCTGCCGCAGCTGGATGAACCCCCTCTCCCTTACACTTCACCTGTCTTCAATCACCCACAGTGGTTACTTTTAAGGTTCCGTAAAACAAAAGAAAAAACAGGGCACATTACAAATTGGTAAAATCAGGGAAGAAAAACTCCAATAGTCACAATAACACAAGAGCAACCAGAAATACACAGGACAATAGGAACACGGTAGAATTACGGGTGGCTGACTCAACAACCACTGGAAGAGGACTAAAGGGTCACTTGGCAGAGTACATTGCTTTGGAGACAGAAAAATGTGTACATTTGCCAAAAAGAGGTTCAGGATGGCACAGTTGGGCCCAGTGGAGGCTGGGGTGAAGGTGTAGCGCCCTCTACTGGTTCAGAAGGAAACAGCCCTGCCTGGGGTCAGCCAGCTCTGGGGCACTGGTCTCTGTGGAGACAACCTCAACCTACTACCAAGTTGGCTCTGCACTTGAGCTTAAATCCTTTCTCTACAGCCACTCTGAGCACTTTGTGCTGGGAGCTGGATGGCTCTCAGATGGCCATCTTTAACAAGAGTTTGTCAAGAGGCAAGGAAGGAAAGTGCCCTCCTGGGGTACCCTTGCCAGTCTGGGGGACACTCAACCTCCTAAGCTGCTAATATCCTTTGGTCCACTGGCTTCCCTCCTAACCCTCAGCAAAATGCATTCCCCTTGGGGAATGCCCAGATCCCCACTGGCTATGACTCCATTCAAATACAACAGCCCCTTTTTGTGTGTGATTCTGACCCCAAAGCCCAGGCAGCTCATGTGGACTGGCCTCAGGTGATGTTATTGAATGCTCAAGGAAGGCCGAGGCTTCTGCCTAAGCCAGCTGAGGCTCCCAGCCCCCAGCCCCCAGCCCCATTTTCACCTGCCTTTTAGACTTCCCATTCCTGCCTCTAAGACTGGTGGTGGTTCAGACAAGCCCACTGACTCCCCACCCTCTACTTCAAAATAAAAGGGAGGAGTTTTGGCCCTGGTACAATAGCTTCGGCTGCTCTTAGAATCAACCCTTCATGTTAAGGGTGGGATTATTATTTTGGCATCTTTCTTGTTGGCTGAGAAAGAGTGAGGGTTCTCCCCACGGCCCTGTTCTCTCCTGCTCCTCAGGTCTGTTCAGCTAGTGGGGGGGCTCCCTCTCCTCAGCTGTGTTCTTCCTCCTGAACCAGCCCAGAAGGGACTAGACCTTCTTGAAGATATATCCACCATCATAGGAAAATTCCACCCAGCAGTTAGTATTTTTTTTTTATCTCTTTCTCTTTTTGTTTGTTTTTGGGCAGAACTTTCTGCCAGCTATATAAGCACCGAAGAATTGCTTTTGAAAACGAGATCCATTGCTGGCGAGACCAATTCAAGTGGAAAGTGTATGACAGACTGTAAGTATATATAGTTATATGTTAAAAAAAAATACAAAGAAAAGTTTACCAAGTTCCCATAAAATACATCAAAATCAATAAGAAAGTCCATCCTGTCCCCAGGACGTAGGCCCGTGGGTTCTTTTTGTACAAAATATCCCCCAAATCAAAACAAAATACACATATACAGACACACACATGATACACACATACATATAGAGTAACATTTTCTGTGACAATTAAAAAAAATCCTAGTACAAATATAAAGCTCTGTAAACCTGGTCCTATGAGAATCTAATGTTAGTAAACAGCAGGAAAGCGGCGCCTGTTGCATGGCCAGGACCTTACATCATGGTCTCCACGATGACGTGACTGGGTTTCATGAGTGCGCCGTTCATGACGAGGCTTGTGCGGGAGTGGAAGGGTGTGGCCCCCTCACGCTCCACAGCCCAGCGGTTGGGCTCCCTGGGGGTTATCAGGTATTGGATTCTCTGTAGTAAAAAATGAGGAGGGGTCAAGAGGGGACCAAAAGGGCTCCTCCCCCACACGGTATTCAGGTATGCTTGCTATGTGGCATCTGGCCAACTGCCACCCATTCTGGGCCTTTTGGTGATTTTTCTAGAAATGGAGAACCGATGTCCTACAGTGGTTTCCACAGCCAACCCCTGTAGGTGTGCTTAAGACAGAGCACGCATAGCCTCAACACGCAGGAATTTTTCCCTGGGGAGCTAAGTCCTGTCTTTCCTGTGGTTTATTCACTCTGGTTGCTCCAACTCCCCGCTTCTAAGGTAAGTCTGCAGGTTGGGTAACTAACCTAAGACCCCCCACCTTCTCCAAGGCGAAATTTGTACTTCTTGGCCTGTGTTTCCTGCCTTCATGAGGTAGTTCGTCACAGGCAGCCTCTTCTCCTGCAGGGTTGGGAGCTCACTGCACAGAGGGTACTGCCCTTTCAGATACGAGACAGTGGGAGAATCCTCAGACCCTCTAGGCATGGAGCCCAGACTTCCCAGTGTTCCAGATGACCATGGAACTGGTGAGGGACGAGCCCTCTCCAGGGACTCCAGGAAGTCACCAGCAGAGCTAGGAATGGAACTTGGCTCACGCTTCTCGCCTCCTGCCCACTTCCTGCCAAGTGCCTGCTCAGACTGAAATGGGCCAGCAAGGGAAAAAAAAAAAAAAAAAAAGAAAGAAAACCAAGAAGGGAACAAAAGGCCCTCATAGGTATTTACATTCAACTGTGGCATATTACATCTGGAAAAGCTGCTTAAAGCCTGCATGTGTGGCCTTGAGTGTTCCCTGGCTCTGCCAAGGGGCTGGGGCGAAGCAGCTTATTTAAAAAGACATTACTGCACTTGAGAATCCGCATTCTCTTGGAAAAGCCCACAAGACCTGGTAACCCCAGCTGTGTGGTTCCTACTAACACCTGAGTTGCTCTATGCAGGTCAACAGACCTGCAACCCTCCCCATAGACCTAGCCTGCCTGCCCAACTTCAACCCTGCCTCGCCTGCATTGGAACATTGGGTTCCAAGTGCAAAGTGGGGAAGGGTGACTGGCAGCCACCAGCCGCTGGGGCTGTCCATATGGGAAGCTCAGCTTGCTCTGGAACCCTGGTAGGGTTAGAGATCCAGGTGTGCCACTAGCTACCTCTCAGCTGGAAGGCCACCTGGACATCTTGCACTGCTAGAGAGGCTTTGACTCAATCCAGCTGTGGGGAGATGTCTCCTCCCTCCCCCCAGCAGCATACTCCGAATGAACCTGTCTGTATATGGGCCAGACTAGCCTCTGAAAATCAGGCCTTGAGTCAAGCAGTGGGTCTTCTACCCATAACCACCCCCCTGCCCCCACTAGGGAGGCTGGGGCAGGAGTGTTGAGTGTTTGAGCCAACTTGGGCTATATAAGTGGGTGAGTTCCAGGCCAGCTCAGCCTATAGATTCAGACACTGTCTCAAAAAAGAGTTGGGGTTTCAAAAGACCCTGCCCTAGCTTTAGTTACTGCTACAGAATCTGCCTAACATGAACAGAGGTCTAGAAACCCCTGCCATGTCCAACCTTCTAGGATGGTAACCCAGGTTGGCTCAGGGCACCAGGGGCCACCTGGAGGGCTCAAAGCAGAAGCAGCTGCCTGTCTGTCCTGGGATCCAGTGTTTCGGCACAAACAACAGAGAGAGATTTATACTCTGGATTAATGGTGTGGGAACTGTGGGAGTTGGGGTCCTAGCCCCAATCCTCTACACTCCAGGAGAGCCTTGGCCCTCAGACCAGCATGTACCCCCTGGCTCCTTCCCTGTCTCTCCTTTTCTCTCCCAGCCAATACAGCCCCCTCCAAGGGAGGAAGCCTGGGCCAGCTCAGGGGGGAGGCAGAGCCCCAGGACATCCTGGCTCCAGATTCTTTTTGTAAGAGAATAAAAACAGCCCAGAATAAAACTGGGGCCTTGGAGCCGGCCCAGGCACAAAGGTTAAAGTAGATTCTAAGAAAGGGATTTCGTGGAAAGAGCAGGGGACTGCCAGGCCTGGAGGCTCCCGCATTGTGGGAAGAATTCCTGAGGAGGCTGGGGGAAGGGAGGGAGGAGACAGGCAGTCCTAGAGGCTGGGAGCAGCCTCTAGGGCAGAGGGGCAGCACACCCTAGCACAAAGGGTAGCATGGTGGGGGTGGTGCTGGGTTTCCTCTCCAGAGCCCATCTCCTGTCCTGACTCAGAACAGAGATCCCACACCCTTTAGCTTGGCACGGGAGGCCACTGTCCCCTTTCTAGCCTGGCCATTAACCCTTTGTATCGAACACCAGGACCATATTCTACCTCATACTATGTTGGACACTTCCTCAAGCCCATAGTCCACTTTAAATGTCATCACAAAGCCTTCCCCCTGTGAATGGCGCCTGTGCCTGTTCACCCACAGCACACTCCTGCTTCTTGTGCAGTGAGAGAAGGCCTGGGACTTGGAGAGAGGGGGTCACACAGAAACTGGCACTGGCTGTCTTCCACCCCCCATCGCCCATGTCTCATACTCACCACGCGGAACGGTCCCTCCGTCCGGCAGAGGAGGATGGCAATGACCAAGGGGATACACACCATGGAGGATAGGGCCAGGCCCCAGCCCAGCCCAATTGCCCAATCAGGATACACGTAGACTTTGTTGTAGGTCAGGGGTACATACTTGACAAGAGAGAAGATGAAACATCCCTGTGGAGAGATGGGGCAATCAGAGGATCTCTAGGCATTTGAGAGCAGGGAGGGCATTATCTGGGGCAGGGCCTCTCCTTTATCCTTACTACAGAAACAGGATGGTATTGTGCCGTATAGGTCGCTCCAGAGCAAATCACCTGCTCAGTATCCTTCTATGGCTCCCCAGGTCCTTTGGAATACCAACCATGTCAGCCCATAGCTATGACCTCCTCCTTTGTCATCCGCCCTCACCTCTCAGGACTCTTTCTAGCTCTTCAACATGTGCTCGGGGCCTTCACACAGGCTGTTCCCCCTGCCTGTCCCCTTTCTTTCATCTTTTCACCCTTCCAGTGTACTGGCGTTGCTTGCCTAGGCTTCTTCCTTCCAGAAGTCACGTGGCTCTGATACCCAAAGTTCAGCCGTTTCCCTCCCTCTAGAGCAGTGGTTCTCAACCTGTGGATCGCAGCCCCTTTGGGGAGAGGGGTGCCAACTGATCCTTTCACATTGGAAAACACAGGTATTATTTACGGTACAACTCCTAACAGAAGTAGCAGTGAAAATAATTTTATGGCTGGGGTCCCCGAAGCATGAGGAACTGACTGTATTAAAGGGTCGCTGACGAGATCGATCCGCAGTCCGTAAGGCTAAGGTTTCTTTATTCAGATAAATGCCAGCCCAAACGCAAGCCAGAGCGCACCAGGGGCAGCAAGGCAGCCAGACAAGAGCGAGGCCAGAAAAGAAGGGAGGGCTCCCACGTGTCTGCCCCCTTAAGAACTCCTCACGCGTGTCATCCTGCACCCCTCAACCACGCCCTGATAGGCGTGGTCAAGCACACCTGTAGCCGGCCTTTAGGAGGTGTGGCTATGGTGTCTCCCTACAGGTCACAGCATTAGGAGGGTTGACACCCAATACTCTAGAGCATCTCTCTTTTCTTTAAGGCCAGTTGCAGTTCTAGGTGTACACAGCAAGTGCTCAATAAATGTCTAAGGCATGGCTGAGAGCCAGATAGCCAGCACCCTCAGTGCCATGGCCTCTCTGCACACTGGTCACCAGGTCTGGTTCCAGGGCAGGGTTCAGGGCCAAGTCTCTTCCGGACTTGGCCCTGAAGAGTAGGTAGGGTGAACCATGAACCCTAAAGCTGCACAGAGTCCACCTTTGCCTTTGAGGGGGCCTCTTGGGGGACTGCCTCTCTCTGATGCTTTCAGCCTAGAAAGCCTCAGCTTAGGTGGCATGAACCCCACAGGTGGTGGCTCTGGGCTCTACCTAGCCTGTTCAGCAGGGAGCCTCATTCTGCCTCAGAGTGCAGCCAGCCTCTGGCCCAGGCGACTCTCCAGAGAGGAGAGAGAAGGAAGCCGGGCTCAGTGTGAGAGGAACCCTAAGCACAGCCTGGTGTGAAGGAGAATGGGCGTGCTGGCCTGAGCCCAGTTGACCGCATCTCTGCGTGGGCTGGGCCTCCGGTGGTGACCTCCTGACGTTGTTGGGAGAGGTCTATCAAGAGCCACAATCACACTCATCAGATTCTAAATTGTCACCTGCCACTGAAGTCCCACATCAGGATGTCCTTGTCACAGAAGTGGGGAAACTGAGGCCCAGATAAGGAAGTGAGTTAGCATATCTACTTGGTCTGGCCTGGGAGTAGAGGTCACAGGAAAGGGGACCCACTAATCCCTAAGCACTGGTTCTAAAGTGAAGGACATATGAACTCAAGGTTCAAGAGAGCAGTGTAGGTGGGACTCACACACACCCAGATCTCTAGGGCACTGGCCAGGCCCTGCTGTGAAAGCTCAATGGTGCTCACAGCAGAGTCTTAAGGAAGGACCCTGCTGAAGGTACCCATGCAAGCATCAAGGCCAGCTCCAAGGTGGCCTGGCCTACTGTCCCTGAAACTGCCCTTCCCGTTTCCTCTTTTTCACAAACTCCTATTGGTCCTATAAAACCCTACTCAACCTGCCCCCATTCTCCCAGTTATAGCTGAAGCTAGCTTGGTCACAGCCCACACCCAGGAAATGCTAATCAGAAGGCAGGCTCACAAGGTAAGACTGTCAGGCTGAGTGAGACTTACAGCACAGAGAACTGGAGTGATGACAGCCCAGCTGTACTTCATCCAGGGCCCAGGCCGATAGCCAATCATGTCCTCAATACCGTCATATAAGTTATCACCACCTACGAAAGACAACAGTGGTGACACGGTGACACGGTGATCAAAGCCAGAATAGCTCCCCCTGGAGTGCAGTGCAGCAGGGGTCACCAGGGAGCCTCTAACCACCAGTCCTGTGTTTCCACACCAAGCATGGTCACATGTGTCTAAGGTAGCTTGACACGCAAATGCAGCTGGGCATCTGCATTCTGCTGGAAGTTTTAGACAGAGCCCACAACTCAGTGGGGCTAACCTCAGTTCTCTAAGAGGTCAACATGGACCATTTATAGGTCAGAGAGTAGGTCACCATAGGCTCTGGTGTGACAGTGCTATATTTATAGCAACATATGTTCACACCTTGGGCTTTCAGTAGGATTATCTGTGATATGCTCAAGGGGCATCTCAGAGTGAACATTGCAGGCAAGGGAAGTTTTTCCATTAAGGTCTGACCAAATGAACAGCTTGAAAAAAGATGTGTAAACATGTATACTCACCATATATCCAGGCAATAACAAAACATTCAAAGAATGCAACCCACAAAAGGCATACACCACTAGCTGCATAGTAGTCAAAGAGTTGAAACACATACATGCCACCCTGTGAAGGAAGAAAATCAAAGATAAAGTTGGTTTGCTATATCGTCTCCAATTCCCTTCACATATAAAGGGACAAATCAGCACATTTTTTCTTTTTTTAATTCTAAAGAGCAGGAGGAAGATGATATTCAGGGCCAAGTGTGGTGGCTCATAGCACTTACAACAAATACTCTATAGGCCAAGACAGGTGAATTGCTGTGAGTTCAAAGCCTGTTAGGGCTATATAACAAATCAACTTCATGTTTGAAAAAACACACAGGGTTAAGGGGAGAGCACAACATGCCCTAGCAATACCAAGGGTCACAGAAGTCTACATGCACAGATGGTCTTAAAACCAAGTGTGGCCAAGTCCAGGGAACCCACCACTTGGTAGGTGGATACTGTATGACTTTGGAGGAGTGTTCCTACAAGCACTTCCCTAAAAGTTTCTCCTTCTGGTAAAGAAAAGTGGTGCAAGCCTGAACAGGGTTTGTGATAATGAGTGACAACCTTCTAGAGACATCAGGCAGGTTGGTTGATATCCTGGGGCTCATCCTTCTCTAGCCACTGCAACCTTTAGCCCTCAACCCCTGTGTTCCCTTCCTCTCCTAGTGTCTCTTCCTCCTATGTAAAGTATGGGCCCTGCCCTCTGGACATAGCGGATGCTCTCTCCTCAGCAGACACCCACACAAACGACTTGCAACACAAGTGAAGTGCCAGGGCCTTGATTTGACCACAGCATCTCAAAAGGGAGTGTGGAGGAAGCTGCATGGTCATTGAGAGCTGGACAGATTAAAGATTCCGGGGCCTAGCCCAAGGGGGTATGTTAAGTACCTCCCTCCCAGCTGCCTCCCCTGTGCCCTTAAGGAGGAAGCTGGGCATCAAATCCAAATGTAGGAAGGGAAATGCCTCATGCTACCCAGAGTAACAGCCACCTACCTCCGTCACCATCGACAGCCCCAGCAGGTAGCTGATGCTACACAGGATGGCGATGAAGACTTCCCGACGATAACCCTTCCTTAGGAAGGACGGGTAAAGATCAACCAAGGATGTGATCTGTCCTTCGACTTCAACAAACTGAGGGGTGAGAAGGAGAGAGAAGGGGCGTGAGGAGGCTTAGCACTGGCCTGGAACTCAGGAGGAGGGCTTGGGCACATCTGACAAAAGATAGGAGTAGGAGCTCCGTCCTGTGTCCTGGGCAACATCTCACGAGACCTACCTGGAAATCCATGTAGCCAGACTCTGGGCTGTGCAGGTAGCCACTGTGGTCTGTAGTCCAAGAAACTTAGGACATATGGCTCTACTCAGGTCATTCCTGCCCTCATCACTGCAGACTCACCCAAGAGCAGTTGCTTCTCTAGGAAGCCAGGGCCAGCTCTTGGTTCTGACACACTTGAGGGTGAGTGTGTGGTCATGACAGCATTCTTCTTGGTCAAGTCCAGTGCCACACACATCAAGGCAAAGAAATGCCTAGCCTAGCCTAGCCTAGTCCTTCACATGGCCACTCAGCCACAGAACAGCAAGCAGGTCAGCCTCTGTACTAACCAGCTGGAAGACTCTGGGCAAACCCTGGCCTCAGTTTCCCCATTCACAGCACAGAGGCACTTCCAGTCTGACTTACATGGTTACTTAAACCCACTGGAAATCACATGATCCAGGAATCTATGGGTTCCAGACATCATAAAGAAAATTCTGGAACATCCACACACACACACACACACACACACACACACACACACACACATACCTTTCATCCTTTTTGTATCTAATGATTTATCTTGGAGACTTCTATGTCCCTATACAAAGAGCCACCTTGCTTTTAATAGCAGCATAAAACTGCACCCTCTGGACACATCACCCTTCACCTAAACAATGACATTGGCAACAACATTCCTTGTCATCAGTCTTTGGGCATGAATACACAAGTCTGTAACAAGGTCTTGGCAGTATTGGGAGGTTTGAAGCCACAGAAGTATTTAAATTAGAGGAACTGCTCCCAGACTGCACTGAGTCATTGAAAAATTGAGATGCTAAAGGCTGGGCATATAAACACTTGGCAGCATGCTCACCTAGCATGCAAAGGCCCTGCGTTTGATCAGCAGCACTGCATTAACTAGGCATGGTAGGGCACACCTATAATTCCAGCACTCAGGAGGTAGAGACAGGAGGAACAGTTCAAAGTCAGACCTAACTACACAGTGAATTTGAGGCTAGCCTGGTCTACGTGAAATGCTGTCTTGAAATAAAAAGACACAAAGGTTTGGGGACAGAAGTTCCCCCTGCATTCCTATAAGAAAGATCCAATCATGGAGGCCTTTGGGAGGTGGTAAGGGAGAACACAAGAATGGGCACAGAAAGAAACCTCCCCTTCACGTGCCAGAAGGAGTGACACTCTGCATCCAGGATTCAGGCATAAGATGACCAAGAGGTTCCTAAACTCAGAGAGAGAGGTGGACTTTATGATCTCTAACTGATGTGCCCAAAGGGGATTTGAACCTGAAAAACAACTGAGTTGTAGCGAATGGACAGCCCAGATGCCAAGCTACAAAAAAAGTTAAGAAGGAAGGCTGTGAATCAGAGCCAAGATGGGCCCCTCTCAGACTCGCTTTCTCCTGCTGCAGAAAGGTTATCAGTGACACCCAGGCCAGAACACTGCAGGGACAGGAGCTAATGTATAAAAATCTGAGTGCAATGGGCTGGGGAAGTGCATGTGTTTAGCATGGGCAAAGCCCTAGAGCCCACTGTTGGCACTACGAATAAAGAAAACTGTTGGTACAGAGCTTGGGGAACAGCCTCAATTCAGGAGGATAGAAAAGTTCCCAGGACAAAGCCTGACATTAGACATGCTCAGTGCCAATGAGCTGCACATGGAAAAAAACGGCCATCTGACTTATGACACTTGGTGGCATCTCACACAGTGGACTCTCTGCACCCCCATGTAAGGCTGGCTTCTCTAAAGCCCTCCTAATTCTCCAGGTTCTGTAAACCAGTGTCTGGAAGACCAGTGGTCTATTTCCTTGCTCACCTGTGCCTGGGTGAGGGATGATGCCATCAAGTCACTTAAGCCTCAAGCCTTGGGAGACCCGCTCTGCACGGCAGGGTAAAGAGGAACATCCCAAGGCCAGCTTTCACAGCCCCTCAAGAGTGTCCGCTTAGCCTGTGGCTCAGCTGAGAGTCACACATCCTGCGCTGAGTCCCACAACCCCAGGGGAAAACACCCGTGGCACCTCTGGCTGGGAAGGTTGTGAGCCTACATGGCCTGTTTAGAGCCGTGGAGCCATGGTGATGTCACGCTTAGCCACTTATTAACTCGTGTTTTTGTTTTCTTCTTCCCCTCTGAGCACTGGAAGATGTTCTAAAAGCCACTAAAAGGCACTGCATGGGGTCTGCTCCCAGGGCCAAGCTCTCAGAGCAGGAATGATTAACAGAATCTTGTTTGTCTACAACAGCAGCTGCCCATCACCAACTGCACAAGGATTTGCTTTTCTGGCTCTGAAAAGTTTTCACTGTCTTCTCTGCTAATCTGACTCCCTTGGCTGCCAAGTCTTGTACTGTGTTCTTGACCTTGCTAGCTGCCTCCTCTGGACTCACTCACCTCTGCTTGGTTCTGAGTCCCCCAGGACCCATCCTGATAGTGCCTTCCAAGGCTATGCCCTTGGGAAGGGCGATGAGGAGTCAGTATCCAGACCTGATTCCCACAGCTTATTTCAGTTTGACAGACGTTTCCCGAAGCAGCTGGACCCCCCAAACTCAGGCCACGCAGGAGTTTCTCCTGCCTTCCCTGTGTCTCTAGCTGGCCTGAGCCCGAGACCTCCTGCCCTGCATATACCACAGTCTCCCTCCTGGAGTCTCAAAAATACCGCCACAAAAAGACACCTACTTCAGGGAAACAGACACACAATCTCCCATGAATCTCTCGGGCACCTGAATTCTCTATGCCTGGCACTGAGCCTCCTGCTTCCCATCAGCAGGATGAGGAAACTGAGGCTCAGAAGGAGGATGATGGATGTGGCCATCGTCACACACAACAATGCTGCCTCTCCTAAGCTAGATGCAGCAGCTGGCTGGCTGACACCAACATTCCCTGGTAGTGAACTGCCTCCTGTAGAGGGGCTGGGGCAGGATGTAGGGTATAGAGCACAGGAAAGTGGCTGGGGGGGCATGGCTCAGGGCAGAGTCCATGCTTAGTGCATGTGAAGTCCTGGTTCTACCCAAAATAAACAGGCAGATAAGGCAGGCATTACAGCAGCCAGAGGACAGGGGACAGGCTGGCCTCAATCAGGAGCAGTATGCCAAATGTGACTCAGTTTTTCTAGACATACTTGGGACTGTGGTGGCCTGGACAATGATTGACACATGCACTGACATTTGTACCTCTGGGTCCTGGCCTTCTATTTCTCATTTATGGCTTGACTTGAGCCACACACCCCAGACACCCTCATCTCCTTGCTAGGGTAACAGCCTTGAGCAATAGGGTGGAGGGTCTCTTCCCACTGCTGGGCTGGGGCCTTTCTCTGGCTGAAATCACTGAGGTGGTAGCTTGACGGGGAAGGGTCTGAACATCTCCCAGCTTCTGTAAGAATGGGTTCTCACAGTGAGGCTGACCAGGTGAGCACCAGAGCTTCACATCCACATACCTGGCTGTCCAGTCCAAGCAAGAGGAGCATAATAAAAAACAGAATGGACCAAAAGGTGGGCAGCGGCATCATAGTCACAGCTTTTGGGTAGGCAATGAAGGCCAAGCCAGGACCTAAGGGAGAGAAACGGGGAGGGGGGACACAGGAGGACGCACAATTAGTACCATGTCACTTAGAACCCTGGGCCTCACAGATCACCCATGTCTGGATGAGGAGAGGGTCACCTAAGCCCAAAGTGCAGGAGGAGCCAGGGAAAGAGACTGGTGGGGCGTGGGAGGGGCCCCAGGCAAGCATCTGTCTCCTACCCAGTACATGGTCTCCTCTCAGGTGAATCTAAGCCCATATAGACACAGGATCCTAGGTGCAGGGAGCAGGACTGAGCCTGGGGCTCAGGTGGCCAGAGACTGAGGAAAAGGAGGACCCACCCCTCATACAACCAAAGCTGCACACTGACGCTGGCTGGAAGGAAAGCTGTGGTTATGTGATTCGTGACACCCTCCTTTGCAAAGAACGGTTTCTATCTTTGAGTTAATGGCTAAAACACTGTTTAAATGGAAAGAAAAAAAAATTTATTAGCATGCCCAGTTGGGCAAATGGCTTTTCAGGGGCATGCCTGTGGGGCCTCTGCCCCCCAACAGGTACCCAAGTTCACACAAGGCAAGGTAGAACCGGCCAGGCCTGGCACTGAAGGGAGGCAGCATGGGGTAGCAGGGTCCCACATCTCAGTCCTCACCCACCATTTCCTCTCTATATTTTTCCAGGCTTCAGTTTCCTCTACCTGAAACATGAGGGTCAGGTGGCCCCAGGATCCTTCTGTTCTGATTCTCAGAGGTGGATACCACTGCCCAGAAAAGGGCTATGGATTATTATCAACAGGAAGCCCTGTCCCCTCCCTCCCCAGAGGCAGAGGGGGACAAGAGCTCCGCCCACTCAGAGTGGCTCACAGAGTCATTTGAACACAAACATCTGCTTGTAAAAGCCCCCAAGTAGATGCTTGGAGTGGGGGCACATTATCTAGCTAGTACTTGTGGACTAAAAAGCTAAAATGAAATCAACTACTAGAAACAAAACAAACCAATCAAGAGGAAATGCAGGCCAGACTGCAGGAGACTTGGAAGACGTCCTGTACTTTAAAGCAACCATCAAAACTGAGTGAATGGCTTAAGAAGAAGAAAAAAAAAAATCCACAAGAACAAACCAATTTTGAAAAAAAAAACAAAAAAACAAAAAAACTGGAACCAGAACTCACTTAATAAAGCATCAACAGCCAACCGCAACTGCGGCAGGGGAGGGCAAGTCTTACAAGGCCGACTGAGAAACCTTACTGAAACAATGATGGGCGGGGGGCAGCCGCTAAGTAGTTGGTAGAAGAGATTCTAGAAGATTCTTTAAGGTGGGGCTGCTTACCAAGGCAGAAGCTGCTTGAATGAGCAAGACTGGGGGGAGAGGAGCTCGTGCCTCCCACCCAGGACATTATGAAACACACTTAGAATCCAGTTAGAACTGGAAGCGCTCTGGTCCCCATAAATTCCAAAGCTCTAGCCCTGCCTGGTCCACTCCAAAAATGAGGAATTGGGACTAGCCAACTACAACACAGATGTAAAATGTGGTGCCCCCCACCCCAACGCCTCTGCACCAGACACTGAACAGACTCAGTTCACTTATTTCTGTCTTTTGCTTTAGGTTTTCTCAAGGCAGCCTCAGGAGAGGGGCTAAGGGCCCTTCTTGAAAGCGACAGTGAGCTTAGGACAACAACAGAAGCCGAGAGTGCTTAGGCCATTCTGATGCCAGCATAGCACGCTGTGTCCTGTCTGGGCTTCCCTGGGTTCTTTCAAAAGGTGCTTTTCTTTGTTATAGGGCTTGCTAAAAATCTTATGGAGTCACTGTCCTTCTTGTTCTGCTGGCTGTTCAGACATCACTGTGGGGAAGGAGTGACGAGGTTTTTGAAGCAGATGGAAGAAGAAACAACTGGGACTGAGCACGAACTTGGTATGGAAATACCCACTGTGCACAAAGGTCCCCTTGACGGGCCTCATCTTTCCCCCCTAACAAGCTTCCTCCGTGCCCTTGGTGACACCCAGTTACTGGTTTTGAGCTACCTCCTCCCATGTACATGTGGAAAGAGCGACATTTGCAGAGGGGCTAGAAGCAGTGCTGGGCTCCTTGCTATACAACTTCCAACACAGGAGGCTGTAGTACAAGTTCCTGGGCCACCAGTCCCTGCTTTGGAGTCCCTGAGGATGGGCAAACAGTTCTTTCGAGTGTCCAACTGGGACATAGTGTAATAGATATGTGTGTACAGTGTGAGTTCACACTGGGGTGTATCTGAGTTAGAGCCCAGCAGCCAACAGAGGATGAGGGGTGCCTGAGGTCAGAGGAGCCAGTGAGAAGGGAAATGGCTATAGTAGAGGGCTCGACAGACATGCAGTGGGTGGAGACTCAGTGTCCAGATACACTGCCTGTGGCCCTAGCCTGCCCCAGCCCACTCATGCAAGGGTCCTGAGTTGGGCCCTTGGTCTCATGTGAGAGATGAATATCTAGACACAAAGTGTATAAGTACCCTGTGACCTTCTAATACCAGGGCTCAGGACTGGGCAACTGGAACATGATCTTGAGTTTCAAACATAAGGAGGTCCAAAGGGCAGAGAATGGCAGGGACTTAGGGTACCTGCCCCTGGTCTGCAAAAATCCCTAGAATAACAATGTACAGACTGCCCCCATCCCACCCCATCCCAGTGGCTTGAAGGGAACTCCAGTCTAGAGCCCTTGGCAGCCTCCAGAAGACCCCAGAGGGGCTGTGGGCAATTAGGTTAGTTTAGACAATACCATTCTCCAAGAGATCTGGGTGGTGGGGAGGTAGCCCCTGGGGATCTCTGCCCCAGAACCCCAGCCACTGCAAGGCTAAGTTGCAGGGTTAGGCCAAGGCCCAGTCCTCATACCCAGACTCCTAAACACTGTGATGAGTTGGTAGGATTCTAGTCCATGTTCCAGAACCATCTTTACTGGAGCTCTGGGTCCCATGTTGCTAAGGAAGGACCCATTCGGTGCAGACCCTGAGACTGACCAACCATTCTGAACGGTAAGTGTCCTGAGTAGCAACATGGGACCAACTGGCCCTCATTACCTAAGGGCAACAATGTCCTCATATCCTCACTCCCAAATTGTCTCTGTCATGGTCCCTGGGTGGTGTTCCTTCCTGCCCTCTCTCTCCTATTGACTATAGGGATGAGGCTTGGTAAACAGACGTAGGATAGACTGAAGAGTGGATTGGCCTGGTGGTGGGGCTCGCCAGGAGCAGAGTGCAAACCGCAGAAATGAAGGCTAAGATGCCAGCAGCGCTGGTGATAGTGTGCTAGCTGTGGCTGACCTGGGTCTCAGTTGGAAAGCAACTTCCATGGCTACAGCCAGCGGTTGCTGCGGAAGGATTAGGGGCTGGAAGACCTAAACCAGCCACCAATTCCCTTCTCAACCGCCCATGTTCCTCCCACCTTCAGTGGGCCAGGATGCACTGAAAACCTTTAAATGTACTTTTGTACTCAGGTATGGGGGCACGTCTTGCGGGAAGAAGGGATGTCTATGTAAAAGCCAGGCTCCCTCCATCCCCCTGGGGTCTGGCTCCATGCCTGCAGTACTCATCTTACACACTAGGTGGCAGTGCCCACCACCACTGCCACCGACACCACCGTACCTGACTCAGCCACATCAGCAATGTCCACCCCTTGCTCTTGTGCCATGAAGCCCAGGATGGAAAAAATTGCGAAGCCAGACACAAAACTGGTACCACTGTTCAGGCATCCCAGCAGCATACAGTCCCTAAGTTACACACACGTCAGGGGGTAAGTTAATCACAACACAAGGAAGCCACGCTCCCTACTTCTCTTTTTCTTTAATCATCATTTCTAACGTTCACGGGCCCGCCAGCGCAACACTTGCCTGTACGAGTTATACTTGTACTTGTTGTAGCTTCCCAGTGAGGTCATGGCCCCCAGGCAGATGGCATAGGAAAAGAATATCTGGGTTCCGGCGTCGATCCACACCTGAGAGGAAGGGTAAGAGCATTAGAGTGAGCACCGGGTGGGGGGGGAGGGAGGGGCTGACAATGTGAGGATTTTTGACCAACCATGACAAGGTCTACATGGGGATCCTCAGTGTCGATGAGCTGCAAGGAGCCCCAGAAGGCAGAGCCAGGGCCTCCTCTTTGTGCATCAGTTAGGAGACTAGACCACCAGTACCAGTCTAAGAGCCTTGGTTTTCGTATCTACAGAATGTACCCCTAGCCCACCCTGCCCTGCCCTTCAGCACTGCTTCCCATGCTTAGTAAAGAATGGTCTTTACTCTGCCTACTCCTAGGTCACCATGGTCTACTCCCAGGTCAAGGCAGCTTTGATGGCTAAGTCCAGGGGCCTGAGTTAAAACACAAGGCATTGTTTACCTCTCCAGGCATTATCTCCCATAGCTCTGGAAGGCAGCAAGCCTATCTTCCCAGCTCATAGTTCAGACTGGCCACCAACCCTGCCCTGCTTAGAGACCCAGAAATGCTGACCCCTGGGAGGCAACTGAACAGCATGGGATCCTGGGACAAAGATCTCAAAGGTCACACAAAAGCCTCCTGGGTTTCACAAATTCCTAATGCCCCTCAGCTATGTGCTGGGTTAGGGACTTACAATATGACCCCCTTAACTTTCAGAGCTGCCATCAATCTTAAATCTCTCCCTCATCTGAGGATGCCTTCCTGAATACTGAGTCTCTGCTCCTGGCATGGCCTTAGCCAGTGCCATGCCTAAGGCAGGCTCTGGAGCTTGGAAGGGCCACAAGCCACCATTAGCCCAGTGGAGAAGTACCAGGCAGCAATGCCCAGCTACACATGGGCATGAAAGAGCCATGAGATACACAGTCACCTGCACCCTGATCATCACCCTGCCATACCTGTGGGTCCTCAAGGCGGCTGATGTCAGGGTACAGGTAGAATTTGATGCCTTCGCCAGCACCCGGCAGGGTCAGTCCACGGACCAGCAGCACCAGAAGCATGGCAAACGGGAAAGTGGCGGTGAAGTAGACAACCTGTAGGGGTGAGAGGGAATCAGGTGAACCTGTGAGCATCCTTGCTGCAGTGAAATGCAGACACCCTCTTCTCTCAAGGCAACGGGTCACACTGGGAACAGCAAGGACTCTGCAGACACGATGGTGGTCTTCCTGCTGTGTGACCTTCAGCGTGTTACTTAACCTCTCTGAGCCTCTGTCACCTTTCCTAAATAGGACATAAGGATCTAGCTTATAGCTGAAAAAAAAAAAAAAGTTAAATCCTATGACTAATTTACATAGCTCAACTGAGCTCAGAATTCAAAAAAGCAAGCAAGATGGAAAACAAATCCTCCCCACTTTGAAGAACTGATCACTAGGAGGAAAAATACAGACAACACACAACTGAGAATCAACTATCCGGTGTCTGTGCAACCACTCAGCCCAGTAGCTGTCACATGGCACTCAGCACATTACACCGGGTGCCATTACACTGTCAGTGAGACACTGGGATAAAGACTCAGAGAAGGCTGGAGAGAGGACTCAGGGGTTGAAAGCACTAGCTGCTTTTGCTGAGACCTGAGAACAGTTCCCAGCATCCACTGGGCAGCTCAGGACTATTTGAAACTCTGGTTCCAAAGGATGCAGCGCTCTCTTCTGGCCAATGCAGGCACCAGGCACACACATGTAGGAAAATACCCACACACATTTAAAAAAAAAGACAGGTATTGTATGAAAGGAGAGAAGGTTAGCACTCCCCTTGTCAAGGATGGAAGAGGCCCTTGGGCCTAACAACACGCATACGGTTAAGGTATTGCCACCTACTTCGTGGCATCTAACCACTGTTTATCTGGTGCCCTCTTATGGCCTGCAGACATACATGTAGGCAGAACACTGTGTACAATCTTTAAAAAAATAAAAAAGACAGAACCAGGTGTGAGCACATATCTGTAATCCCAGTGCTCAGGAGGCTGAGGCGGGAGTGTTCAGGGCCTGTCTGGGGCTACACAGTGAGACAAGTTCCTCAGCTCCTGCTCAGGGCCTTCTCTTGCTGAGAGAAGACACAGTGAGTACTCTCTTTCTCTGGGCCTTGCTGTCTTCTCCTAACACAATCAGATGACTGAAAATGGTTGTCAAGACACACAGCCTGATTGACGGTGACTTGAGAGGAGGTGGGTGGGAACTTCTCTAAGGTCATGACCAGAATGGTGAAGGCCCAGCCCTTTCCCAGCTTACAGGAGACTGACCCATGAGGTCACGCTGTGTCCCAACAGGCCAGAGTCGGGGGGTGAAGAAGGGACTGGTAACAATGCCCTCTGCCTAGTCCCATGAGCTGTTGGTCACATCACTGCTGGGCAGTTGGCCTTTACAGGGGGTAGAAGACCTGAAGAAGGCCATAACTTTCTAGGGAGTCAAGCCCCTTAGAGGGGAACTTAAGCACAGTGCCTAGCACTGTCCCTATCTAGACTTGGTCTCCCCACCTCTAGATGAGAGCCTTCAACTAGGTAGTTTTAGGTTCCCAGCACCGAGGCTACAGGGCAAGGAGGTGTTTGACCCAGAGGGTCAGCTGGAGTTGTCACTCATTGCCTACCTCCCAGTTGGCAACTGTGGCTGAGGCTTCAAGGGGGAACTCTGACCTCACCCTCTGTCAAGGTCTACAGGGAGTGTCTGGAAATACTTAACAACCCAAACAGTGGTGGCATTCTACAAGGCGGAAGAAGGGCCTCTCCTGTCTGACACCCCTCCCTGGATGCCTTTCTTCCTCCAGGCCTCGGTGTCCCTGGCCACTCTTGTTTCTTTTCCCTTGATGGACAGATGGACACCAGGGACAAAGGCCAGTCAGGAAACCATTGAAAGGGTAAAAGAAAGAAAATCAGTCTGTCCCCTCCCTTCCTGTGGATAGGCAGGCAGGCACCCCTGGCCAGGTCCCCTCTCTAAGGCCCTGCAAGGCCACACCCAAGCTGGTAAACAATAGCCACACACAGGAGCTCCTTAGAGGTCCCCAGAGGGCTAGGGCTTCAAAGCAAGTGGATTGCAGCCAAAATCACTGAATTCATGGGGGTAGGGGGCTCCTTGGCTTGCCTCTTTAATAAGCACTTATATGATGCCTGCTATGTGCCCAGCATGGTGCTGTGAACTTATTCAATACTCAGCATACCTGGATGAGCTCAGGGCCGTTACAACCTGCACCTTCCCTTTCAAGAAAATGAGGCCCACACTGGCCAGTGTCACCTGCCTGGAGTCCCCAAATAGTATTAGGTTGTTAGTGGTGAGATCTGATCTAGGCCAAGTACTTTCAGGGCTCCCGTGTCTTCAGGAGTATTACTGCTGTTGACACCCATGTCATGCTGCTCCAGCCATTTCTCCAGAAAGCCACCCTTGTTTTTGTAGCTTTGCTGTTCCTTGGATGAGCCTAGGAGCCCTTCTCTCAACTTTTCCGTGACTGTCCCTTGGGATCTTGCAGGGAGAGGCTGGAGCCAGGCGCCACCATGGGCCCCTGACGGTGGCCCAGTAGGCCTTGCTGTGGGACGTGGTATTTTTCCACTCCTGTTTCTGAGCCTCCATTACTCCTCTGAGCTCAGGGCCAGAGGCCACATAGAAAATGTAGGCTTACAGGACAGCTCACCCCCAGCCCTCTGGAGGTTGGTGGGTGGCAAAAGGGAGGTAGCTTCCAGCCTCCTGTTAGCCTTACTTGGGAACGGATAGCCTGGGCAGCAAGAGTCATTCAATCAATCTTTTCACACCAGGGGAAACTGTGGCTGAGCAGTGAGAGGGACTTGTAGTCATTCCATTTGTAGGGGCAGAGGTGAGTACAAACCCAGGACAGGCCTTGTCTGCCCTGGAGTGTGACCACAAGCCCAGCCATGCACATGTCCAGGCCCTTCCTGGGGGAGTGATGGCAGTCTGTCTCCTCATGAGAGCAAGCAGGAACATGCCTGGCTTCTGCCTCACTGCACTTACAGCCCAGCACAAGGGTGAGACTGAGTTCAAATCCCAGCTTGGCCACTGATGAGCTGGGTAGCACTGGGAAAGTTAGTTAAGCTCTCTGAACCTCAGTTTCAATTGTACAGGATTGAAGAACTTCCGGAGGATTGAATGAGCTACCACCCAGCACTTAGAGGCCATGTCAACACCCCAGCTACCTGGCTTGTTGAAGCAGTGAAACTGATACTGAGTTTGGGACCTATTTCAGACCCTCCAAGCGCCTGAACTCTGGAGCCCAGGCCTCCATCCATCACCCTCCTTTCTCCTGGACTAAGTTAGCCACGGAAGCAGGGTTGGCCAAGAGGGCTCAGCCCCCATGGCTGGAAGCCTGGTCTGCAGCCAGGGCTGGAAGCTGAAGCCAGGCGGCGGGTGGGCCTCTGGATGGGTAAGCAGGCAGGCGAACGACCTCTAAGGGCCTCTCAGCATTGAGCTGGAGGAAGTCCACAGAGCTGTTTGTCTTGGCTTCTCTGACCCATTAGGCCCACTATTGTTCTAGGAACCACAGAGCAGGGTGTAGCTCAGCGTAGGTTGAGGGGAGTGGGGCTCTGGCCAGTTGCGTTTTCACAGGAGCCACAGCTGCAGCCTGGCACCCTCTCTTTGACCTTGGCTCTGTCCTCTGTGTGGTGTGCTGTGTCCTAAATATTGCTGACTGTGCCTGGTAGATATCAGCCTCCTCCATCAGACTGGGGGCTCCCTATGTCCAAGCCAGACGCACCGCAGGGCCTTTACACTGACAATTGCCTGTGCTGGCAACACTCCCCTCAGAATACTCAAACTCTCCATTCTTTTTTTTTTTTTTTAGTCAGGGTTTCTCTGTAGCTTTGGAGCCTGTCCTGGAACTCTCTCTGTAGATCAGGCTGGCATCTAACTCACAGAGATCCGCTTGCGTCTGCCTTCCAAGTGCTGGGAATAAAGGCGTGGCTTCCACTCCTTTCTCATCATCACTCAGTTATGTCAGTAACCTTTGCTGGCCACCCTACAGAAGATACCCCACACTCCTCTCTTCTCTCCTGTAACTCATCTCTCTTCCCAGCCGGCCATAGATGCCTAACACTGTAGATCCCCTCACTGTTTCTAAGACAGGATCCACACACAAGGGTCTCAAAGGACATCAGTGCACCCCGAACACAATCGATGCTCTCTGCAGCATGCTCAGCACGGAAGCTCCCTGGACACCCCCTGACAGATTCACTTCCATGTAGGGGAGCTTGGGAAGTGGGCAGAAGGTAATTGCTGCTTACTCAAGATTGTGGGTCTGTTGGTAGGCAGACCCGAGGTACTTAATATCATCTCAACGCTCATGTTCACCGTTTGACAGCAGAGGGGACAGGCTTGGGTGGTGGGGGACTGTTCTAGGACAAGTTTCCTGATCTCTTCTGAGCTTCAGTGCCCTTGCTGTGTTTCAAGGAAAGCAACATGCATGCTCCCAGGAAGGACTGCAGGGAAATAGGGAGCACCGTGCACAGGGTCCCTAAGGAGATAGACAACGGCATTGTTCCTTCTTTCTGTTTGCCCTGTGGGGTGATCCTAGTACGGTGTGGTCCAGGCCTGGTTGGCATCCCTTCAGACTGAGGTTCAGTACAGCAGTGGGCTCTGCACCCCAGTACAAGGACAGTGACACAGGGTAGCTAGACAGCCCTGCTTCAACATCTGTTTTAAACCCCGGGTGGCTGCCAGCATGATATGCAAAGTTTGGGTTCACACTGTGGGCTGATGGCCACAGCCAGCAGCAGGACTGCCGACTGGCCTGTGGCTCAGCGAGCATAGCTCATCACACCAACACTGTACATCAGGGACAGGGCAATGGCTAGTGACACGAGCTCAGTGGAGAATACCTGGCTGCCCACCAGTCACGAGGTCACTAAGCTTGTCCTATCAGAGCACTCTCGTGTGCAGACATGGGCCCTCCTCCTAGGGTAGAGCTCTGTGAGGACAAGGCTGGCCACAGTATGGCTGTCCCTGAGGCAGGGGACAGGAGTCCACTCACCTTGCCTGTGGATCGAACACCCTTCCATATGCAGAAAAAACAGACAAGCCAGACTAAGAGGAGGCAGAGCGCAAGGTCCCATTTCAGAGCGCCTGGTTCGTCGATTCCGGAAGACAGGCTGAGTACATTGCGCCTTTGGGAAAAGAGAACAAGAGGTCAGAGGCTGGGGGCCACTTGGCAGCAAAGCCAGCACGGGCAAAATCCTGGGTTCTGTCTCTGGCATGGTGACAAAATAAAATACAAAATGTTCATTTTCATTCCAGCATCTGGGAGGCTGAGGCAGGACTGCCTTGAGTTTGAGGAATGCCTGGGCTACACAGTGAATTCCAGGCCAGCCTGGACTACAGAGTGTGAATAAATAAATTAATAAAAAATCAACACCTACCCCCACCTCCACAGAGATGCCTCAGTGGCTGCTCCTGCCCCAGGCACTGCATGTGCATAAGCCTTGGGACCCATTTGTCAGGAAGACAATGGAGGGGACTAGGGTAGCAGGGCAGTCAAGAAGCTGCAGAATCCTTATCAGGTGACCTCAGGATCAACCCAGCCGGGCTGTGGGCAAGTTAAGTTCCTCAAGCCTCCATTTCCTCTTTTGTAAAATGGATACTGATTTGGGTGGTAAGATGGCTTGGCATAAAAAGGTGCTTATGGCCGACCCTGCTGAACTGACCTGTGACCTGCACAGTGGAAGTAAAGGACGGACTCTTTCAAGTTGTTCTGACTACACACACACACACACACACACACACACACACACACACACACACACACACACACGATGTTTTTAAATGGGGACTGATTATCTGCAGCACCAATGGACAACCTTCAATTTTAACTGTGGGCCAAACACAGGGTTCAAATCTCCTTACAGCTGCAGGCAGGCCCCTGTCCCAGGCCACCCTCTGAGCAGGAATGGAAACTATGAACCTCGGTTTGTCCTTTGGTAAATGAGTAGTGCCAGCTCCTGCCCAGGGTGCTGCTTGGGAAAACATCCTTGTATGTTCTAAGCTTTCAGTGGGTTAATGGGACCCCATACTCAGGAAGCCAGCTGGGTCTTAAGTACCCTCTGGACCAGGACCTTTGACTTTTTTTTTCCTCCAGAAAAGCCTCAACATAGAATTTTGAATAAACCCAAGGGTCCTTCTAAATGGTCTTCAAGCAACATGTTTGGTCCACAGTCATTGCTCTTAGGACCCAGGATGACACCTGACACACAGCAGGATTCAACAAACACCCACTGAATGAATGAACCATCCAGGAGAACCAAGCATCACACTACTAGGTCAACGCAAGAGGTACCCCCAAGGCTAAACAAGGGACAACTTTGCTTGGTTCTTATTCTGCTTCTCACAGTGACATCAGTGCCCCTCACCATGTTCCTAAAAGAGTGTCTGACCAACACAAAAGAGACAAAAGCCAACAGAACCTGACTATATGCCTTTTCCATTGATCTCATTCAATCCAAGGGGTAGAGCCCATTGGCCACATTTCACAGATGGGAAAACTAAGGCTTAAAGGGTCCATTTGCCCACACTTGAAAAGCCACTAAAACTCCTGGCCTGCCTAAGTTCCAAGGCTCTCCCAACTCCACCACAACATAGTCTGATTTTAAAACAAAATTGCACTTGCTTTTAAGGACCTCCAGGAGCTGGAAGGCTGGCTCAAAGGGTAAGAGCATTGTCTGCTCTTCCAGAGGAATCAATTCCCAACACCTACATGGCAGCTCACAACCATGTGTAACTCCAGTTCCAGAGGATATTACACCCTCTTTTGGCTTCTGGGGCATTAGACACACAAGTGGCACACACACACACACACACACACACACACACACACACAGGCAAAACACCTATAGACATAAAATATAATAAAAAAAAATTAAACAATAAATCAAAGGGCCCTCCAGTCCTCCACTACAAGCTGGGATCATCTGGTGTCTCCGGGCAGCATCATGGGGTACCTTCACAAAGCAGGCTAACAGCCAACCACATGCAGCTGGGCCCCTGCCAAGCTGAGACCTGGCAGCACCACAGAACAAAAAGCCCTTCCCATTCAACATTCAGCACTTGGGTGCCAGCCATGGAAGCTCAGCGTACAGGGAGAAACAGCCCACACTCCTGTGAATGGGCCACATGAGGGAGAAGAACGTGGCCCTATTCCACACCTTCAGCCTTTTCCCTGGCCTGCCCTCCTCAAGTGTGCCCTCTGCAGCTGATGCTCCAAGTGACTTGCTGTAGAGCCCATCTAGCCTGCCTTCCATCCCACTGGTTCTGACCACCTGGTGAACAGCATGCTGACATAGTCTACTCAGTCAATGATCAGCCACGAGATTGCCATGTCTCTTTGTTCTTTGGGGCAATCCATCAAGAAGTTCAGAACTCCAAAGCCAAATCCTGCTGGTCCTAAGAGCCCCATCCAGGTCATGACCCCCTCTCTGTCCATTCCTACCACCATTAGGACAAAGCCAACTGATCAACAGTGCCCACTGCCACCAGGCACTGCCAAGTAGAGTTGCTCTGGTAGCTGAGACAAACCGAGTCCTTTTATGCCTCTGCTGCTGGGGACAGTCCCTGCAGGCTGGCACCCAGTGACATTTTAAGGTGGATTTTCCCTGACCCAGTAGCTCTATGCGCAAGACCAACTCCTATTATTCTACCAGCATGCCCCCCCCCCAACCGCCTAACAAAGCGTTCACCAAGAGGTGACCTGAGTGTCCCTGAGTAAGCCTTGGGGTGGGCACAGTGGAATACCATCAGTGTCAAGTTCTTGATGTTCTGATGAAGCAGCATAACACCCTGAGGGACAGAGTGAGCCAGCAGAGCAGGGGGCATACACACAAGACCAGCTTCTGTGATCAGGAGAACCTGAATACACCTCAGCCAGCAAGTGCTGCCTGGGGACAGAGACTCAACAATAAATGTAGCTCTTTTGCAGTGTGAGTATTCACATATATACTTCATAGACTTTATAGACTTGGGCAGGGACTGGGGGGCGGGGTGAGACAGGGTTTCCCTGTATGGCCTTGGCTGTCCTGGAAGTTGCCTTGTAGACCAGGCTGGCCTCGATCTCAGAGTTCCACCTGCCTCAGCCTCCTGAGTGCTGGGATTAAAGTTTTCTTTTGTTTTTTTTTAAGACAGGGTCTAACAGCCCAGGCTGTCCTTAAATGGTTGACCTTCTTGCCTCTACCTGAAATTACACAGTATTGAAATTATACAGGTCTGTCATCCGGCATCATATAGCTTGCTGGGGCCACAAAATGTCTTAGGAATGGAAGGAGTAAGTCTGTCAATCAGGCTCTGACAGCCCCAGGCAGGCCTGAGAAGGAGAGTAGTCAGTCATCTGAATCCCAGCAGGGACCCTTCCACTAATCCTCGATATCCTTCTTCCAAGGGGGACTGGGAATCCCTTGGGCCTTCTCACTGGTCTGAGTGGAGCTCAGAAAACTGCAAGGTGCATGAGATAACCGGGCCACACAATGTCACTTGTGGGTGCCTCCTAAACACCTACATCCCCCCCACAATGCCCTGCTCAGGCCCTACTGCACCCCAAAGCCACTACAGTAACTTCTTCCCAGCTTCCCTACTATATTCTCCTCCGTACTTGTTAGAGGGGCCCCCCAGTATCTGCAATGCCAGCTCTCATCCTTGGCTCCACATCCTCCCATGTCTCCAGCCTCCCTCCTAACCTGTCCCTCTCACCTTCCATGCAAATGTTGATGCTTTAAAGAATATGGGGAGTACCTAACAAGAAGAGTTGGGGAGCAAACAGACAGGAAGCCAGACACCATGGGTGCATAGCTGTCCCCTCTACCTCCCTCCTCACCTGCCCCTTAGGAGTTGAGTGTGGTCCCTCAACTGTTGAACTACTGCTTCCTGGGCTACGGTTTCACCATTCACAGATGATCTCTTTCCAGGTCTCTGTACTGATGCACTTTTCCCAAGGGCAACCATTATTCCTGGACACCCTCCATCAAGAGCACCCAAGCCCTCTCCTTCCCCAGCTCTGGTTCTGAGGTCAGCATTTTCCCACAATGATCTTACTTTCTGACCGGTTGAGGTGTCTGGCTACTAGCAAGTCAGATCTGTGCACGTAGGGTCTGCAACTGTCTGAACCACAACACCCAGCACAGGAAAGCGCTCACCTGACATTAGCTGAGGGAATTCGTTACAGCCATTAGGTAGATGGGGAACTGAGGCTCAGCCTCCCATTGACCCTAGGCAGTAATCAAGCCTAGGGCTGATTCTTTTTTCTGATGTCCCCTAGAGCACATCAGTGTGTCTCTGGCCAGGGCTCCCAGCCTTAAGCTTCCCAGTCTCTTCCAGAGGTAAGCTGCAGATCTTTTCCAAGAAAAGGGCCGCTTCTTGCCAGGATGGGAACTAAAAAAGAGAGGCCAGCCTGGACGTGTGTTTGCAGCCGGCTGCCCTGCTGCCGTCCAGTCAGCACTTGGAGATGTAAATTCATCCTCAGAGTGGGCCAAATCGTTTCCTTTTGACTGCAGGCCAGCCGTTTATTGGCCGCAGCAGTCCCCTGGAGACTGGCAGAGGCAACAATTATAAAAGGGCCGCCCGCTGGAGCATGGGGCCCCCACACAGCCCTTAGCCACGGAGGAAGATTGGCTGAGCATGGCTTGTTTGCAAATATGACTCATTTCTTTGATTCTAATAGAATCTAATGATCCATGCTGGGCTCCCAGGGGGCTCTGCAGGAGCCTCGGAGGAAGGCCTGGCTCCAGCCTGCTGAAGGGCTTTAGGCCAGACCTGGCCCCGCCTGTCGTCCAAGGCCTGTGGGGAAGCAGTAGGTTTGGGGACAGAGGTGACCCCAGAGGTGAAGACCAGTGGGATGAGGCCATAGGGGCAGAAGCTCTGTGACCCCATAAACATACCCTAACGCCAGTGTGAAATGTTGGTCTCTGGGGCCTAGCAGCTTCTCACGGGAACCGCTGGGGTTGAGAAGGTGCCTAGCTTTGCAGACAGGGTAAGTGTAGCAGGAGCAGGGTGATAGAAGTCCATGCCTGACCAGAGACTGGAGAAATACAGATGTGCTCGCACACAAGCAATGCACCATGTGGCCTGTGATCACAGGCTTGGTTCCAAGGCCTGCCCTGTAGCACAGGGATGGGAGGTGGAATGGAACAAAGACAAAAAGTTCACTGAGGTTGGACCTGTGTCCATGCTGGGTCCCCAGAACCCTAAGCACATAGCTTGGTCCAGGTTCCTTACTGCCAGAGAGCACATGTGAGCACTGAGGTCAGCCAGGCTAACGCTGGCTCACAGAGCATAGAAGGGGGGACTCAAGCTTGGTATTCCAACTGCCCTGACCCCAGAGGGTTGGGACACATGGGAGCTACACTTAGGCCACACTGGGAGGGGAGTTCCCCTCCGAGGTCCTCCTGGCTCCATGGTAACCAGCAGAAGGGAGGGACTGAGAAAGTCCTCTAGTGATTAGAAATTGTGGAAAGGCTCTGCTCCCACTATGACTTGTTACCTTTGGCTCCCAGACCTCCAGATCTGGTTCAGGTAAAGAAACAAGGAAATTCCTGGACCTGGGCCAGTGCTCAGTGAACATTGCTGTACTAGCCCACTCCTTTCTGGCAGGGTGAGATCACAGTATGGGAAAAGCAGGGGAAAGCTCTGAGCCAGGGATGGACCAGAGGCTTCAAGAAAACGGCAGGAGCGAGCAAGAAGCCAAGTGACCCTAAGCTGCACACAGGAGTCCCTTGAGGGGCATGGTGTGCACGGGAGGGCAGCTGGATTCTGAATGCATGATGGAGGGCCAGTAAACTCCACGTGAAATGTGAGGAAGGGTTCCCCACAGTGCCTTACTTTTTTCCCCACTTAAGTAGCCTCAGGGTGAGCAAGAGGTTGATTGGGTGAAAACACTGGACACTATATCTGACTACCTGAATTGAGTCCCTGGAACTCATGTAAAAACATAAAGAAAAAACTGAGTCCTCATAGTTGTCCTTTGTCCTTCACACACATCATGATGTGCATAACTCAACTCTCCTAAAATAAATTAAATGGAGAAGGAGGAGGAGAAGACTTTGCATCGAAACAGCTCACAGCACCCACCCTTTCACCTTCCTTTCCACCGTTTCAAGCTCAAGACAAGGGGAGGAGGTTCTTGGAAGCAGGAAGCCCTGCAGATTCCCTGATGCTCCTGCCCACCTCAAGTCCGTGGCACACAGGCTCAGCAGGAGGCTGGTGGAGGGTTGGGGGGGCTTGCTCACCTCTGCCTGCTTTGCAGCTCTGCTCAGTGAACCCCAGGCTCAGGTACTGTGAATGCAAAGGTATTCTCAGAGGTTCTAGAATACAAAGTCAGGTCAAGAGCCTGTGCAGGCCAGTGTGGCCAGAAGCTGGCACTCCTTGGGCACAGCATATCCACGGACACCATGGAAAAGCCTGCAATAAAGCCTGGGGAACCAGGCATTTTTCCTAAAGCTAGGCTTTCCTGATGAGAAACAAAAGCCAAGTGCTTTGCGCAAGGCTTCTAGAATACAAGGGTGCTGGAACAGACTCAGGCTGAGAATGTCTGCGGAGAGGGCAAGGGCACTGAGCAGAGGTCTTCTAAGACTTTCATGCCACAGTGGCAGGTGCCAGGCAAAGGCAAAAACAGCATGATTCCCTTGCCACCTGTGGACATTTGAGGGGATCACATTCAGATCCTAAACCCTCCCCAGAAAGGATACTTAACCACAATGAGGATACAACATGAACAGTACCCTGAAGTGAGGGAGCAGCTTTTCAGGGTGGCCATGAAGGGATTCATCCATCTAGGGCTGCAATATAGCCCCTGTGACAGTACTAAGATTATCCCAGGGATGGGCACTGAGGCCAGAGAGGAGACCGAATCTGTCTAAGACAGAAGTGGCAGAATGAAGGTTTAAACCTGGAAGGTAGACACCTCAGAGGCTGGCCAGGTGCCAGAAGCCTCAGAAAGTTAGGTAGCCCTGGCGTCCAAACCGTGCCAAGAACAGTACAGAAAGGCCAGGGCTTGTGGCCTTGGGCCCCTTAAAGGAAAAGAGTGAAATGCCAGCATTCCATTTGTTTAAAAACTCAGCTCTCTGAAGGGTGGGAACATGCTTTTAATACCCCTCCCTTTGTTTGCTAGTGGAAAATACACACATTAGGAGACACCAAGTTCCCAAAGCCTAGGGTCCTGCCTGTGAATGTATTAAGGCCCAGGCACGGCACAGGCCACCCAAGGAAGACCACTTCCTGCAAGTAAGAACAGCTGACCGATCTTGTAGGAATCACAACACAGCTCTCCCTCCTGATGGTCCCTAGTTTGGCTTCCTTGAAGTAGAGCAGCCACTGCCCACCAAGGAGAGGGAGTTTCATCTCATGGTAGTCTGGGACAGGCCTTCCTCTGCCTTGATTCTCCATTGCACATGAGGCCTCGAGAGGCACCCTGAGTTAAGAGCACATGCTTACAAGGGAAGTGACGTACTCAAGGGTTTCTAATAAACTTCTATGAACTGTTAGGATGTCCTGGAATGCACATTCATGAGAGTTCCCCAAATGCCATTAATACGAGGATATATCTACATGCTGTTCACACGCTGGGGCTTGCCAGTCTGTTGCTCTTGAGCTGCCTATGATAAGCCAAAGGAAAGACTGAGAGATGAGATCACACAAGCCATTCACTCCTAACACCCTCTTTGTTGCGAGGCCAGCCACAAAAGAGCCACCCACAGACACATGAAGGAGCCCAAGAGCGGACCTACCAAGATGAGCACAACCCAAACTGGCACCAAGTATTCATGAGCTCAACAGAGCACTTAGTTAAAACCACCATGCTTGGGAATGGTTGTTATACAGCAAGAGCTAACTAACTGATATATAGTTTTACTATCAACTCACCTTTTCATTTGAATAACTACATAAATTCATTTTTCTCTGTGATAATAGAATGCTTTTCCCAAAATACATTAAGAAAATTATAATTTTCAAACACATGTACACCTATATTTGGAGAAAATTCTTTCACAGGAATCCCATGGAATAAGAATGCTACATTTTCCTCATTTGACAGCTAAACTAAGGCTCAAAAGGGCAGTGGGGTGACTTGCCTAAAAAAATCAAATAGCCATAATTAGTAAACCAGGATTCAAATCCATCTTGTATGAGACAAAGGCATGGAGTTATCTCCAGCTGTGTGTCTTCCTTCCCTCCAGAGACAGGGCTTCTCATAATCAAGATGAAGATACTGTCCCCTCTAGAACTGCCCATGTCCCTCCTCCTTCCCATGATGTGGCCTTACTCCCAGAACTCGATGACAGGCGAGGTGAAGTTGGAGGCGCTAAGGGAGACCCAGAGACTCTCATTCCTACGCAGGGTGTCCTCCATGCAATGTGGTGTGTTCCAGCTGTGGTTGCAGTGGGCCCAGGGAAGCTCTGTCTGGAAGGAGTGAAATAGGTAGTATGTGGCCCAGGCCAGGATGACAATGTAGTACACATTCAGGAGGGACACGATGACGATGGATGCGTAGCCAATGCCTGTGGGCAAGAAAAGCAAAATGGACACATGTCAAAAAGGAGGCACATTCAACTGGGAGGCACTGGTGTGCCTAGGCTGTGGGCCAAAGGGGCCTCCTCAACAATAAGCACAAGATAGTCACAGGATGAAGGAGTGACTGGATGAAAGGACTGGGAATGAGTGGTCAAAGAAATGGTGGCTAGATGAATCACAGGAATGAAAGAAGTAGGGACAAGACAATGACTATGCAGTTGGATGGTCAGATGGGTAGCCAGAAACATGGATAAACGGATGAATTTTTCTATAAAAATGGATGGATAGAAATATAGATGGACAGATGGATGGTAGATGGATAGAAATATGGATGAATGGATAGGAACATGGATGGATAGATAAAATATGGGAGAATGGGTAGATGAATAGAGATGGATGGATAGACGGATGAATAAAAAATGAAAATATGGATGGAAATATGGATAGGGAGACAGAAATATGGAAGGATAGGTAGATAGATGGAAGGATAGATTGATGATAGATAGATAGATAGATAGATAGATAGATAGACACATAGATGGATGAGAACATGGATGGTCAGATGGACAGATGGATGGATGGATGGATGGATGGATGGATGGATGGATGGATGGATGGATGGATGGATGGATGGATGGATGGATGGATGGATGGATGGATGGATGGATGGATGGATGGATGGATGGATGGATGGATGGATGGATGGATGGATGGATGGATGGATGGATGGATGGATGGATGGATAAGAACATGGATGGGTAGGATGGAAACCTATCCTACCCATGAATAGATGGGTCAATGGACAGATGGATGGATGGATGAATAGAAACATGGATAGATAGATAAAATATGGGAGAATGGGTAGATGAACAGAAACATGCATGGATAGATAGATGGATGAATAGAGATAAGTGAAAATATGGAGGGAAACATGGGTGGATGGGTAGAAATATAGAAGGATGGGTAAATGAAAAGAGAATGGTGGATGGAAACATGGATAGGGAGACAGAAATATGGAAGGATGGGTAGATGGAAAGATAGATTGATGATAGATAGATAGATAGATAGATAGATAGATAGACACATAGATGGATGAGAACATGGATGGTCAGATGGACAGATGGATGGATGGATGGATGGATGGATGGATGGATGGATGGAGAGAGAGAGCTAAATGAACAGACTTTATATTCATACTTTAATATCTGTTTGTTGTATATATAGTCTAATTCTTCATATATATACATATGGTGGTTGGTTGGAAGGCTGGATAAATGGAAGAAAGGGAGATGGATGGCCTAACTATTGAGTGGTGGCTTAATAGGAGAAAATAGTAGGTAAATATTTATGTGGGTGACTAAAGGAAGGGCCTAATATTCCCATTTCTCTTACACCATCATAGTAGTGATTACTCCAAGTAAACACTAAGTACCGAGCACATAACGGAGCTACCATCAATAGAGTGCTGGCCACACACACAAAATACTCAGACATGACTGTCATTCTGTCTTCCCGGTAACTCTATAGGGTGAGAATACTGTTTTCTAGATGAAGAAATTGAAGCTCAATGACTTCCCTAAAACCACTCCATCAAGCGGATGAAGTGAGGCCCGAACCCAGTGCCCCAGATTCCTGCATTTTGAAAGCTGCCAGCTCGCTTATCCAAACACCCACAGAGGTGGCCCCAAAGGAGACTTTCTAAGTAGCTGGGAACATGCTGTATCTCCCTTCTCCTTGCCTCTTGGTGACATTTACATCACAACATGCTGCTGCCCTGTATCTGGCACTGACATATGTGACAAACTCAGAAGACAGAAGGTGTCACTAAAAACCTGGTGGATTCAATACATACAGACTGAGGTGACACCAGTTACATACTCACCAGAGAACAAGGGGCAGATCTTCTCCCAGCAGGTGATTCCCCCTTCTGAGGTGTACTGGCCTATTATGACCTCCAGGAAAAACACAGGCAGGCCACTCCCAAACAGGAAAATAAAATACGGTATGAGGAAAGCACCTGCCAAGTGAGCAAAGGGGAGAGAGTGAAGCCGTAAGTGATGGCCGGTAAGATGCTCACTCCCAAAATGTCCCAACCCAAGTTATCAGGAGTGAGGGATGTGAGTAAGCATGGAAACCAAACTCAGACTTCCCTGAAGATTCTCCAGGCCTACCTACCTGTCCCACCCACTGATCTGCAAATCTACCAGGTTCCTCAAGCCATCAGGCTGGTGCCTATGCCTGTCACCTGCCTGCCTTCTCCATGGTATCCTTCCCATAGAGGCTGCTTGATCTGTTAGACCTAGGAACATACAGCACTACCTCCTTCTAGAGCTATACCCATCCTCCACAGGCCAGCCTGGGTCAACGGCCAGGAAGGCCCAGAAGCGGGGTGTGGGTGGGGGTGGGAGGCAGGAGGTAGAATCTCCCTGTGATGGGAGTACCAGGGGGAGACAGGGAACAAAGTATCTGAAAGGAGTGGTCCTACCTTCATGCACTAATGGCTTTAGCGGGTCCATAAACCCTGTGAAATTGTGGGCACCTTGGGTCTACGCTATCTGCTTTGTTATAGGGAGTGTCTAAAATACCCATCAGAGTTCCCAGGGCATCTGAGACCTATTAGGTCAAGAAATTAGGTGCTAAGAGGAGGTTCCCCCAAAAGTGGCTCTCTTACCACAGGAGCAGACAGTATGCCCACCTTTACAGTCACATGACAAGTGGTTGCCACCTACATATTCTTCTCTGGTCCTCCTCTGCACCAGCAAGAACATCTCTAGGCTGGTGCTGCCTACTCTTGACACCTGAGGGGACTCTCTCAGAGACCTCAGCAGGAGGAGGAGACACAGCCCCCGCAAAAATCCAAACCCAACCCCACCATAGGCAGAATACATTCATGGATGTCCTCTGCCCCCACCCCCCCTTTCATTATGGCAAATGATGCTGGTTGCGATCTACAGAAAGAGAAAACTAGCTTTTCGGAATACATAGGGTGAAGTTAGAAAGCAAAATCAGCACTAAAGATGCTAAAATAGAAGACTGCAAGCCCAGAGGTGGTGGAATGTGGGAATGGAGGCCATGAAAGTCTGAGGTTAAGGGCATGGGTCAGACAGGGAAAACCAGAGGATCATAGAGACTGAGGGAGAGTCCTCCAGAAGGTAACCTAGCCAGAGGCTAACATAATACCACCCTGCCCTCAGGCATGTTGACCCTGTGTCTGAGGTGCAGGTGGGGCAGGGGAGACCTGGCCTGAAGAAGGTCAGAGAATAGAAAAAGATCTCTCACACACTGACCCCAGCCTTCCATTTGACCCAGACTCACCTCCACCATTTTTGTAGCAGAGGTACGGGAAACGCCAAACGTTGCCCAAACCCACGAAGCCTCCGGCCACAGACAGCACAAAGTCAATCTTGCTGGACCACTTCTCCCTCTGAGGGGGCTTCCCCTCAGCCTCATCCTCAGGCCGTGTGCCTGGGCTCTTCCCTGGAGAAGGCTTCAGGATGTCTTTGTGGAAGTCTTTCAGACACTGCAGCTTCTCCTTGGTGGCCATTTCCTCGTTTTCTATGGGAGGCAGATCAAGGTGGATGATGAGACCTACCCAGTGGTAACACTTAGGACCAGTTCTACCTCCCCAGGCTGCAGCAGGAGCTTCCACACCATGAGTCCCCATCATAGAAGCCATGTGGACCCCAAGAATCTCAAAAATTCAGGTCTGAAACACTTGCAACCTATAGAAGCAACAGGCTCCATTTCTCAGGCACCAGCTAAACAGAAGCACTGGTGGCCCAAGATTGTCCCCAAACATCAAATTTCATTCATCCTGTACCCTGGGCAGTTCGGACATCTCCCAAAGGAGAGTCTGTCTGTAGCTCTTCCTTCCAGGCACTTCACTAATTGAGGTCTGCACAGAAAATAGCAACTCACATCTCGGTTACACCTCCGTGCAGAGCCTAGTGAGGGACCTGATCTACAAGAGGTACCTGTTCTCAGTGAAGAAGTGAGGCAGGGATGTGGTGTTGACTGCACAGGACACTATACTGGGAAACAGGCTTTACCATCAGGGTATAGAAAATGGACAGTGACAGAATATGTTTGTAGCAGAAAAAAAATAATAAGGCTTTCTTATATAGAATTATACAAGGATGCTTGTGGCAGCTGAGGATATGATGCCAGGGCATGTGTGGAAAATAAGCTAGGAAAGCCTGGCCCATCCCCAGGCTGCAAACCAGGGCTTGCTACTTACTACCCGTTCTTCAGTCTTGCCAACGCCAGGGTAAACTCACAGATGCTAGCAAGGAGGGGTCTTGCTTTCTGTTTCGCAGCTGGGCTTGGATATAAGGAGGCTTCCTAAGCCTGGCACAGTTCAGGGTTACCTCCCTGCTTAGTAGGGGGTTGTACCAGCTAATGTTCATCTTCTCCTAGCATCTCCTGTGATGGTCACCATCCATGTCATCAAAGGACACATAGCAAGTCCTTGGATAAGCAAGTAACCAAGCACATCTAAAGACCCTTGTCAATCCAGGGTCCTATGTGCAATGGTTCACATACGGCATGGCAGAGAGCCACAGGGGAGGGATGAGCTTGGGGGAAGCCAGAGCTAATAGCCCTCCCTGCTCTTTTCTGAGCCTCAGTTTCCCTATCTGCACACTAAAATGAGTAACAACAAAGGTAGCCACAAGGCGGGAGGTGGTGGCATACACTTTAACCCCAGCACTTAAGAGGCAGAGGCAGAGGCAGGCAGATCTCTGTGAGTTCAAGGCCAGCTTGGTCTACAAAGCTAGTTCCAGGACAGGCTCCAAAGCTACAGAGAAACCCTGTTGTCTCGGAAAATAAAAAGAAAAAAGAAAGAAAGAAGAACACCCGCTGAAGTAGATACAAAGTGTGCTGTTTCCAGCTCATGCCGCTGGGAGAGCACCTTCACCTACTCGGCTGTAATCTGGCTTCCCACAACCAACCCCTACCTGAACTCCAACTGCACACACTTCCCAGCTGGTGGTCTTCTCTATGACCAGCCCAGAGATTTGTGGAAAGAAGAACCTGTCATGTTTAGAACTCTGAAGCTCATCACACAGTAGGGCATCAGGAAAATGCTGCTGTACCGACAGAACCTCAGTACCAAGGAGAACACGGTGAGGCCTTGCACTAAGGTCCAGAGCGGCTGCCAGAGACATTAGGGTCTACAGAAGTGACAGGACAGGTTCCCGGGGGGCTCTGCAAGGAGCAGAGGCCCAGAGGCTCAATAACCCCACTTCCTCCACACCTCCTTCCTTTCACTGGCTGGCTTGGGGTGGAGGACCCCAATTGTTTTGCTATCTGGCAGTGAACAGACCAAGAAAGGCTTCCTGGAGCCACTGGGCAGCCCCCGGAGTCCTTCCTCTGTCTGGGGGAGCATCCGCATGGCCTTTCTCTGCGGCTCCCCCGGGGCCCCGCATGGCTCAGCAGGCCTGTGGCCACTGTGAAAACAGCTCAAGCGGCCAGCATTGTTCCTGCAGCAGGTCAGCAGCCCCCGATGGTTATCTGACCAGCTCATTGTGGCCTGCAGTGGGCGCATAATTGGAGGATGTGGGACTCCACTCCCTCCAAGGGAAGGGTCCGCTCAAGAATGACCTGGAGCCTCCAACTGAGAAGGGCTGATCCACCCTTTGGACACGTCTCAATCCTTGGAGCTGGGAAGACTTCACAAGGTCAGCCTAGCTTTTAAACTTAAGAAGAGGAGAAGGACCAGCCTCCAGTATTGGGAGGGATGGAAAAAGGACAAGGGTCTCCTTGCCTCACAGGCAGCTACCAAGGCTGGTTCTAATAAGGAGCCAGACTCTAAGGCCCTATGCCCTGCTGTCCTGACAGCCCTGGTTCTACATTCTGGACTCCCAGACCCACTAACAACCCTGTACTCAGAGAACCCTCTAGAAATATGGGAAGGGCTCAACAACTGGGGTTCCAAATAACCCATCTCTCGACTCTGCTTTGCTACATAAGGCATCTATCCCTGAATACTCTAACGATTCCATCTATCATCATGCTGCCTGAGGCTGAAGCATGATGGCTGGGGGCCTCAGAGAGGCAGTGCAGTGCCTGTCCTGTGACTGGCACTATGGGGTCTCTGTGGGTCTCTTCAGTCATTCAGGTGCACCCAGGAGTGTGGTCCTCCTTCACCGTCACACCTCCTCCCTATGGGAGTGTGGTCCAAGAACTAAATGGTTCTCCATTTGCCTTTGGAAAAACCAGAGCCCACTGGACCTGCCTCAGCATCACCTCCAACCCTCAGGTTGGCTGCAAATCTCAGGGCTACCATCAGGGTAGGGCATCCCCCTAACCTCAGACTTCCCTGGGTCCAGAGACCCAGGCACCCTGTCCTCCTCCTCTCTTGGATTCTCCTTCCAAGTCCCTTTCATGTGTCTGACCAGCAGCCCTGCAATATACCATTCCAGCAAGACCTGCAGATCCACTCTGCACATTCTTGGCATCCACCCCCACGTCCCTGTCACCATGGCAACCTTCTCTCAGCCAGCAGCCCCTAGCTCAGGCATCTACAGCAGCCTCCCTATAGGTCTCCTTGCTGCTCTGCTGCCTCCAGCCTGTTCTCATGCAGCAGCTGACAACAGCAGCTTAAAAAAAAAAAAATCACATTCATAATGAACACCAGCTCTCAGTTCATTGCTAGAGGAAAACACAAGGCCTGCTCCAATCCCTGGCCCTCCCAGATCCCAAGCAAGACCCTTATAAATCCTTACTTATCTCCCACCCATGTGGGACAGACCCACAGGAATGCTATAGCTTCTCTCCCCACCCCCTATGCTGGCTGTTCCAGGTCCTATGGTAGCAGCTTGGTGATTGAGCCCTGACTGAGGGAGGGGCTGAGAGCCACTTAAAGTGACTGAAGGATCTTAGGCAAGGTACTAAGCCTCTCTGGTCTTCAAATGTTCTCATCTGTAGAGCATTGCTGCCTGTCATGGGGTACAGAGAGAGAAACGAGGGGGTGCACAGAACAGCACATGGTACATAGCAAGAACTTACTAAAATAATAGCTAGTGTCATTATTACCAACCCTCGGGTGGGCGAGGTCTTCATCCCACTCAGCAAGAGATGAAACAAGGCCCAAACAACTCTGAGATCACTGGAATGAGGCAGTATCACTGAAGCCCTGAGGCTTTGCCTCGGCCTTTCGCTTCTCTGACTTCTCATGACACCCTCTGGGGTCCACCTCTACAGACTACCAGTGAGGCCAGTCCACCCTCATGGTGGTCAAGTGGCTACAGCATAGCACAGGGAGTCCAGTCCCTTCACACCACCTGCCGACAGCCTGCTTCTCCAAAAGAGGAGCTGTTTCTCTTGGCTCAGGGCCTGAGGTTGTTCACAGCAATGCAGACCTCATTCTAGGAAGCTGCCTCCGTGGTTACCACAGCTACAGGTGATTACAATGCATGGAGTTACTGGCTCCAGGATAAAGTGTCCCTCCGCATACAGCTGAAATCACTGTCCCTTTTCCAGGGGCAGCAGCTAGATCCAGCTATGCTTGAATGCTAGCTTGCGTGTTTGAAGATCACCAGGCAAGTTTTGCCACATACATAGCCAGGTTGACTCTGGTGCCAGTGACAATGTGGGATTACAAGATACACTTTTGTACCCTCTAGCCAGTTTAAAAAACATCAGTTTTTTTTTTTTTAGTACCTAGGCTAAACTATCTCAGAACAGTTTCCTGTTCTGTCATTCTTTGAGGTGGGCAGATGTGCAAGAGGAAAGACAGGGTCTTATATATCCCAGGCTGGCTTTCAACTCACAAGTAGGAGGTCTGGCCTTGAACTTCTGATCCTCATGCATCTACCTTCCCCTTCTGCAATGCTGGGATTACAAGCCAGCACCATCACACAAGACTGATGTAGGTCTGGGGTTTGAACCCAAGGCCTTGCACAGGCCTCACAAATGCTCTACCACAGAGCTGCTCCACAGTCCAAAGACTTCTTACATTTTCTCACATCAAAGAAGCAGAGGTGCAAGTGATAGCCTGCCTCAGGCCACCACACACAGGGGCCAGGACAGATGGAGCCAGCATCCCCATCTTGCTTTACACTTACAGCATTGTATAGATTAGAAGAGTATACTGTGCATAGACACAGCTGCTGGGTCAGAGAAGCGGCCTGCCCAGTATAGAGCCCACAGACTGGAGACCCAAAGACATGGCTCCTGCCTGCCTGCCTTCCTCCCCAGGCCTAACTAGCCCACTGTGGCCTTCAGACATCCATGCACCAGCCAGGCAGGCCTTGAAGTTGATTTAAGCTGCCACTGCCTCCCCAACATTTGCCTCTGTACTCTAAGACAAGCAGGCACCAAGTCTCAGCCCTCAGTGCTAGCATCCACCTGCAGAACCTTAGCTTGAACCAACAGCCCCTACTAGAAAGGATTAAAATCTCTTACTGTTGCTGCCTTCACCATTCAGGATCTCTTATCAAGGAGGCAGGCACGTGTCTGCTTCCTCTTGTGCTTGTCCCCAGCCCACCCCAGTGCCTAGAACACAGCACGTTCTCACAGAGAGCTTTAGGAGAGACTGGATGTCTCTCGGGGAG